GGTCCCCCTATTTGCCATGACAGCGTATCCAGATACTCCTTCACCTGCCCATTTGCTGCATTCGCCATAACTCCGTATCCTTTTTCTCCCCCCTCGCTTCTCCGGAATTCCTCCATCACGTCTCTTCCTCTCTTCAAGTATTGACTTTCGTAGGCCCCCATAATCTCGTCTGCCATGCCTATCACCTTGATCTTGGGCTGCGCCTCCGTCCATATCTTCAGCTTCTCCTCGCTCGACTTATGGCTGACCGCTATCCGCTCTGCAACCTGAGACGGTGGAATTGCATACTTCAATGGTCGCACGGCCAACCACGTCATCATGCCTTTGATCGCATCATCGAACGGGCTCTTCTCTGTGTCGTCCATGTGGATCTCCGCCCAATCTAGGGTCTTTCTGCTGATCCCTCCCCAGCTAGCCCTGAACGGGTCCTTACTTCCGTTCGTGACGTCATACACCCCTCCCACAGAGATGGCTATCGGTGCCACACCAGCTATCATCCTCTCATATGATCTCCCCTTCTGGAAGGACTTCTCTGTCTCACCAGTCGCGCCGAGGAATTTAGGGGCCCATGGCGTATCAACGTCTCCTCCCGTGCCCGCTGTGGGCATGGCACATCCAGGCACGTCCATCCCTCTTGCCAATCGCACCCCTATCAAGTCGTTCAGCTTCTCCTTCGACAGGTTCCCGGCATCAGGACTCGCCTGGGGTGGCGGCTTCGTCGCCCCTCCATGCGACCTTGGCCTATCCCAGTTCGCTATCACCCTCTCCAGGTAGTCCGTGGCATCCGTCACAGACGCAGCTATCAGAGGGATCTTCTCCCTTATCCATGCTTCAGGATTCCGTCTTGTACACCGTAGTACCTCCCAGAGATACATAATCTTGTGTACTCGCATTCTATCCACATCGTATCCCACGGCTGAACGCTTACCTCCTTTCTTCGCCGTCTTGGCCTGGGCCTCTTCCGCTCGCACACCAGCTTTCCCACTGCTCATCCATTTCTTGAAGTCTGCATCGTCCTTGAATGGGCTGGGGATAGCCCGTCTAGCCCATACCTCCTGCATCTCTAGATTTCCCTCCAACATCCAGTGTATTCTAGCCTGTTCTCGTTCCTTGGCTCCGACTGGCAGATACGAGTACGTCGTCACCCCTGGCACTCCATCCTCCGTCTCGGCCTTGAGGTACCTATCCGCGTCGGAAAACACCTTCTCCAGGAAGTCTATCATGGCCTGTGCTCGATCACATCGTTCCCTCTCTCCTGCATCCCTGGTCTGATGCTCTGGGCGTTGCCATCGTACCCCTACTGTCCTCGAAGACGAAGCTGTCCCAGGATCTTCACTGCTTCCGATATCTCTATCCCGCTCACTCAGCGACACCGATCCGAACATCTCTCCCATGGCTCCACGCTATGCAGGTCGCTAGAGCCCTCTTCTTCCTTATACCTGCATGCAACTCAAGGTCACACAAAATTCGCTCTAGTCAAGACGTCGTTGAAGAGCGTTACAAAGTTCTTCAATATTCACCATATTGCTATTATCTATCCGAGCCTTTGACTCTTCACTAATGTATATGGTGCATTGTACGTCCTCTCCTTTGTCGTGAAGCTCTCCTATCTTCGTCTTTCCCCGCATTCGAGCCAGTTTTCCACGTGCAGCAAGAATTCTCGCTATTCCCTCGGATATGGCGGCATCACTGCGATTGATCAGAACAATCCCAATGCCCGCAGCGATCACTCTGTCGACCAGTAAAGCTAGGCTATCAGCCGCACTTTGGTCCTTTCTTCCCAGCTTAAGCTCTGCTCCGCGGGCTAGTCGAGACGGCGAGTCAACTCGCTTCGGTGCTATCACAACTATCCCGTCGCACTCACCGACGATCGCCTCATCGACCTCCAGAATTGGCGAGTGTTTGATATCCCACACCATTTCCCAAATTATCCATCTTCCCAACGTTATCCCTGATGTCATACTCGAGCTGATTTTGGGATACCCCCCGGCACGCGGGCATAGCTAAGATGGTTCCCGTTGCGTTCCCGAACTCCTCTTCACCGAAATGTGCGGTAGTGTACATATCCCTTAACCACTCTCGTGCTTCATTGATGGCCTTGGTCATCATGTTGGCAGCCTGATACTCAGTAGGACAATTGACAAACGTGAACATGACTGCCTCGTAGAACTGGTTCAGCCTAGCTATGTCTATTCGTTGTGTTCTAGACAGGTACCTCATGTTCGGATTCTTGCCCGATACAATCACTCTAACAGCCGCCTCATTGTCCTCTGCCACTATCAAGGGTTCTATACTCTCCTTGATCATCTCCCATAGTGTCAACCCCGGTATTCCTTGTTTCGTGATGCCATCGTGCAGGGCTACTATCTCAGCTTCAGGGGTACTTTTGGAGCACGACGTTTGCTTCTTACAGTAAGCAGCTATAGGAACGAAAGTGTGCGGTCCCTGAAGACAAAGATATACCCCCGACGTAGATCTATGGTCGTTCTTGTCGCTGGCAAGATCGGCGTCGCAGTATAGTACAAGACGGATGTCTCCTATCCTATCCCCGACCCATCCGTAGAGGCTCGTTGTGGTCGTCTCGTTGATGTATGAGATCAGTCTATACATTCTCTTGTCACAGAGATGTGTCCAGGTCGTCAGCCTCGACGCCAGAACCTGTACTGGTCGCAGAAGGTCATACCTTCCGACTCTGGCCCCATACAAGATCTTCATGAGTACCGCAGGGGCGTGCTCTTTCAACACTCCCGGCCCCTCATCCGGCAGCTCGTACTTGGCTATCCCCATAACTTCGTTCACCTTGTCGTCTACTGGGTTCTCGTCGAACTCTGGGCGGCTCTCGTCGAGATATGGGGTCTTAGCTTTATCCAGTGGCTTAGGATATGCCGTCGAGCACAACTCTTGATATCTATCCACACACTGCTTCATGAAATCGGTAACATCGTATCGAAGAATCCTGATTTCATCTGGACTATCTTCCTGCGCCTCGGCCTTCCCCACGAAGTTAGGCGGTTCCTTCTTGGGCTCGATGATCTTCGTCCACTCGTGTCTCGGCTCAAACGGCGACCGAAAAGGTATCGCGCTAGCCGTGTGCAAGCATCCCAAGTACCTACCCATACTTCGTGGCTCTTCGAGCTTGATTCTCTTCGCCAGCTTCTCCCATCCTATCGCTAAGTTCTCTTTGGGCCCCGCAAGCTTGAAGTCGTCGACGTAGATCACCAGCATCAGCTTCAGCTCCTTATGGAAGAACACACTAGGCCAATCTGAGAGGAATTCGAAGCCGACCTCAGTCACGGCCTTTTCGCAGTGCCTTTCCCAGAACCCCCCGGCATCCGGATGCCCGTATAAAGCTAGTCTCAGTGGCACCACGGGGTCGTCTATGCCCTCCCATTCATCTGGCCACCTATCCCTCGGGATCCGTATCCATGTTTTAGGCCCCCCCAACAGCGCCTGCGTGTATGCCGACTCACCGTCCGACATCTCGATGTCGTGTCCTGGCAGCATCCCATAGGCATCCGCCATCTTACCTGCCTCAAGTGTCGCGGGGCATGATGTGATTTCCTGAAAGATGGCCCACTTTCCCTCCTGGTCTTTGACATGACATCCCTCAAACACAACTCTCCCCTTATACTTCCTAAGAGGATCGTCTTCAGCAAGCTCCCAGTTCTTTTCTACACAAATGTCGAAGATACGACCTACATGAGCTATTTCCCCTCTATCCATTGCCTCCCGCTGAACGTCCTTCCACGAACGCACCTCCTCCATTATCCAGACCACTTGATCCATCAGCTTTTTCCATTCCTTATCAAGCGCTGCCCGAGCCTTGGGGTTGATCGCCCTCTCAGCTTTCGTCACGGGTCTAGCGACAAGTCCGAACACTTCCTCGATGTCTTCCTCTTCGTCCTCTATGATTGTGGCCATCAGTGGCTCACATTCTCCTACTGTCTCGTCGATGCTATCACACACTTCATTTTCCGCAACCTCTTCCCAACTATCCTCTTGATCTGCATCCACCTGTATAGCAGGGACTGCGACTATTCCATCTCCATACTCCTCGTCTTCAGTCTGATAACCCTGCCGGATCAAATTATCAACGGGCGTAGTATGCTTGTTCATGAAGCATGCGAAGCATAGCGTCATCGACGTGAGGATCAAACTAGGTACCTTTGCTTTTCCCTCCAGCAGTCGTCGACATTCTCGGCATCTGTATGCCCTATCCGAGACATGCTTGACGCCGATTCGCCGCCTATCCTCATCTCTATTCCTCCCTGCTCTCAGTCCATGACCCGCACTATCCCTGTCTCTTTCCCTCGCACGGGCCTCTCTTGCCCAGATTGCTTTCTTGCTCTCCCGATGTGCCCTACGATGTCTCACTTCCTTCACGTTCTCAGGCATCATGCACCCGCGCATCCTCGGTCGCAGACATACTCCCTTAGCGAACTCCATTCTCATGATTGGCCCCCCTCTTCCTCCAAACGTAATGGGAAAGCTATTCCTATTCTGTATAGCCACCAGGATTTCTCGCCCAGGTGATACCTCGTATCCTATGACGTCGCACATAGTTTCCGCCACAAGTTGTCCAAGCGCAGACACTCTCACACTTGTGCCAGGATCTTCCGGATATGCTATCCCAGTACGAACCCAGGTGTATCCTATCAACGGAACATGGATGTCGTCCTTTAGTTCGAGGACCAGTGCATTCCTCTCTGCCTCCCACATGACTATGTCGCATTCGCCCTTCTCCATAGTCTCGAGGTTGATGGTTTCAGCGTGCCCGGCCCTGAAGAATGCCTCATCCACAGGTTCCCGTTCCTCTTCCAAGTCCGACAGCGTCCACCCTTCTGAATCAAACACATCACTCTGGTCGTCGACTCCGGAGCTTTCCTCTCTATCTTGGTCGTGGCGTCGATCTGTGTCGCTGCTCTCCCTCTCCCCGGTCAGCACTACTATCCATCCGTTGCAGTTCATGTCTCCCACCTCGAGCTCTTCTCCAGGGTAAGCTACGCGGCCCCTCCGGTGCTATGTCTGGTGCGGCGACTGTTTGGCTTCATCATCATAACCTTGCCTATGTCGTCGCCGTCGACCAGGATCACGCGCAGGTCCTGTATGTGTTTCGCCCGGGGTCCGAAGACCTCCCCCATTGCCTCTCGGCCTGGATTATTCATAACTATGCATCTTTTCCATCTGGGCTCCTCACGACTGATGTACGGTGCCCCATCCTCGGCAGCCGCAGCAGCATAGTTCCTCACCAGCGTCTGATCTTCTCGATCCGTAGCATCGTCGACGTGCTCGTCGTCTCCTTCCATGTCTATCACCCAATACGAGTTTCCTCCGTTCATTCTTCTCTTGGCTATCTTCAGCAGCTTCTCTAGTGATCCCCCGGTCTCGTCACCTCTAATCGTTCCCTTTTCCAGCTGTGCCAAGGAGTCCACGTCCAGTGTCACCATACCACTGCTATATCCGAGATATTCTCCCTCGTGTTCTTCACATGCCATCGACACCGAATCACCCTCTTCCTCGCCGCAGATGTTTACCACGTCCTCTATCACCTTGATCATTTCGCGTATCGCTTTACGCTCCTGCTCTCGTTGTACGTCCATTTTCGTGTCCGATGTCCTCACCATGTGCGACATTAACTCATGATCCCTTGGCATATGATCGCATGCTAACATGTCCGCCGCGATCGCGTTCATCATACATGGTGTGACCATTCCTATGTAACACGACGCGTCCACCCCGTCATTCATACCCAGCATGCATCCATCACTCCGTACTATCCACATGTCCCAGGCAAGCGCCATTCGAACAATGGTCTCGTCGGCCAATCGACTTTTGCCGCCTATCCAGATGGTCGTAGCCACTATTCCTCTGCTGTTGGCGTCGGTGATAACCTTTTCTATATTACCAAACACTCTATCTCGAGCCTCTCGCGTACTATCTAGACCTTCCTCACGTCTCCAACCGGATGCCTTTCGATCAACTTCTACACTCATGCCCTCGCTAGACGCATCGATAGCGATGACCACATCCGTCACACCCTCTCCTATCACACATCCTTCCCCCGATATCCAAGATACGTTCTCACCTCCGTTATCCCCTGTTTCTTCTATTCCGACCCCCATGACCTGCACTTTAGGCTGCTCGCCCAACTCCCTCATTATTTCCCCAATGATGTTGTCGGACGGCGTTCGCGCTATTCCAGCTGTGCTGCACAATTGATTGATGGTTTTCGCAACCTCCTCAGTATCTCCCATCCTGGATGCCGGTGCGGCAGGTTCTGCTGGTTCTCCTCTATCCCTGATTCGTCGGTCTTCTCCTCCGTCGGGGATGTACCAGAACTCCGTGATGATGTCCCTGGGCACAACGAATCGGTATCTCCCTCTATTGCGCATCATCTCCGCCTGTATGCATGAGTCATATTCAATGGATTCTAAGACCTCTCCAGTATTGGCGCTCCGAGTGACCCTCCACCAGAGCTCGAGCCGTCTTTTGTCCCTTCCGCCATAGAATCGGTAGGATGTGGCGCGATTGTTTCTTACTGCCCACACTCGGCCACCCTCAGGCATTCCCGATGGAGAATCCCATCGGTACTCCTGCGGTGAGAAGTCCTGGCCATGGTCGGTGATTTTCTCCATCCATTCTCGAACTCCAATTTCTGCGGGACGCGGTCCTATTCCCTCTTGCCCTCGAACGGCAGAGGGAGGCCTCTCTCCTCTGATGATCCTCTCTTTGTCTCCCTCTATATAGCGCAGTCGCTGTCCCGGACTCATCCTATTCCACTCTGCCGACGAAATGGAGTTGGGTTTGTGAGATCTCGCGTACGGCCGTTCTATCCTGGGCATGTCCTGTTCGTAGTCTAAACCCACCCCCCGTATACCCGTCGCCTTCTCTCCCCGCGCCCGCTCCTTGGCTTCATCCTCTATCTCTCCCTCAGGCTCCCCCTTTTCCCAGAACGTAGTGCACCCCGTCCATTTCTTGGTGATCTTCTTCTTGCCCTTCATTCTATCCTCATCCAGTACCTCCGATGTACCATCGGCGTACACTATCCACGTTCGTCTCCTTGGACCCAGCTCTCTATCCCCGGGGCCACCTGTACCTTTGACCTCCTCGCCTGGGGTACACAGCTCCTTTCGGGGTAAGATGTGATGAAGCGTCCACGAATGGTCTATCTCATCATGTTCCCAGAAATCCCCGTTTTGAAGATGCTGATCGTCGCACTTAATTTGTCTCATCACATCGGCTCGTACCCTTCTCTCCTCTGCGAAGATTTCCTCCGTCTCCTCTCCTTGCTGCCCCTCTCTCTCCAGTTCCAACCTGGCCAGGGCATCAGCTCGAGTCGCTGTCATGATTCTCGACTTCCTATCAGCCACAGCTTGCATCGGGAAGTAGTTGGGCATCTCCTCGTCAAGTACTATCCTCTTCACGCGGTGTATCGACGGTACCGTCCATCCGTGATATAGGTGCGCCAGCTCAACCACTATATAGTCTCCGCTCGGAACACCCCCTGGTTGGAGCGCGTAACCTAGGAACAATCCGGGTGATGTCGGAGTGTCGAACTTTGCCTTGGATGCCATGGCATACGCTTGCTCTTCCTCGGCGTCGTGATCTACATATTCTTCCCCATCCCCACCGTTGTCTGCACACGCTGCCTGGCATAAGCCATCCGCTAATGTCGCAAAGTGCTCATCCAATCTGAAGCCCAGCCTCATCAACTTCCACTTGTCGTCCACAGATGCCTTTTTACCCGCTGCCAGGGTATATCCCACCGCTATCACTCTATCCTCCGGCGCCAAGGCATCTTCGGTAGCATGCCAAACTCTTGGATTGAACTTTAGCCCACTATCAACCTTCCGAGTCCTTCCCCATATCCATTTTCCCGGAAGCACCTCTTTCTTTATCCCGGCGGCGTCGCCACTCTCATTCGCACACTGTTCCTCTTCCGTCCAGATCATAGCTTCGCCCGCCCTCTCGCTTACCGGCACAACAAAGTTGTATGTCTGACTCTCGTTGAACTTGTCCTTGTGAGGCCCCATCCTGGTTCCGACAGACACAATCACCGTTGTGAAAGTAGCTTCTGGGAAGCATTTTGCTATCAGCTCGCAGCACACCATGGCTATCCCCGGATAATCTTTGGCACTATTCGTAACGCCAATCTTTCCTCCGTACGCATACAGCCCCAGGACTATGAATCCTCTACCGGTGGCCATGCTCCGCGAATTCTTCGCTATTCCTTTTTCTATCGAAGTGAACTTCAGGATGATGTCCTTTGCATGCTGCACATCAAAGTCCTGCGTCATGACCATGTCGAGCGCACGTCTATCGATTTCTCTCAGCTCTTCCTCCCTTTGCGAGCGTTGTTCTTTAGTTTCCTTCGTTTCAGAGGGCAAGGCCATGCTCGAAACATCTTCATCAGCTCCGAGAATCTCAAGAGCGTCATTTTCAGGATCCCCCCGTTCGAGCAGGGCCGCGTCCTCTTTGCCAGCTTTTCTAGGCTTTTCGGCAATGGGGAGGTAGTTAACAAGTGCCCCGAAAGGAATCAGTTTCACTTTGTCTTGCTCGTTGCCATGTCTTTTCCCGTACGGGCTTACCCCGTCCACCTGTTGTACGTTCCTATGGAAGCAGAACGTCTGCACAGCGTATGGCCACCACTTCGGTTCTAGTCCTGCTTGTCTCAGTAATACTCTGCCACCGTAGATTACTTCTTTGACCTTGAGCTCCGCTATGCTATTCGTTCGGGGTAATCCGGGTGTAGAAGTCGCCCTGCAAGTTCCTATGACATCGCAGGCTTTTGAGAATTCACCGGCTCCGTCTGCGTACAGATGCACCACCATATCTGGGCCTCGGAACTCGTTGATAGCTCGCACAAACTCATCCGTTCCTCTGGACTTCACGGGCGTGCAGTGTATCCACTGTGTCTTGAAGTCGAACATCACGATTGCGTTGTTTTCTCCGCGGATTCCCTTGTCTTTGTTGCTGCGAAGCACTATCGTGTCAGCAGTGACCCTCTCTCCGAACTTCTCGGCACCCTTGTCGGTGATGCCTTCGCCCCTGTTGAAGGGAACGTTTATTGCTTTGCCTTGTCGACAGGCAACGCAGTGCATGTTCTTTGGGAGATGCGTGAGCAAATGTTCCGCCGATTTTGCATACTCCGGTGAGTATCTTGCTCTCCGGATGCTCACAGCTTTGCTCGACCCTATCCCTTCGCCAAGTCTATCCGCAACTCGAACTTGATCTGCAGGTCCGACTTCTGCCTCTGTTTGTTCCACTTCTCCCATGCCACCGGCGCTATCATCCTGCTGAGGCTCTCCCACTCCTCTTCTGGCCTGTTCTTCGTCGGCTATTCCGGGCAAATCTATATCAACATCCAATTCGCCTTCGTTTTCGGTGCTTTCTTCTTCGCCGGGTACAGCGACGACTTGCTCCGCGATCCTTAGGTCGTCATCCGGATTCTTCTTCATTCCGCGGACGAGCTGAAACTCCACATCCGTCATATTGCGTGCGCTTTGTCCCGCCTCAATCTGCTCAGGACTTAAAGCTCTTTCACAAAACCCGCATACCCCGGATGAATCAGCCTTACACGCGGCGCAGTAGAACGTCGTTCTCAGTCGACCATCACTATCATCTTGTTCTATCGTTGTCTCCCTATTCCTCTCGTCTATCCCCTTTTCGGCCACTGATGATATTCGGTGGTGCTTACGCATAGTCTCCTTAATGGCTCGCACTAATCCCGGTGCCCACTCCGCCCAGTTCTGCGATTCGCTCATCTCGCCCTTGCTTCTATCACTGCTATCATTCGCCGCTCCAGTCCCTGGTCCTCTAAGATTGACCGCCCATCCTATCAACTCTGCGTCAGTCGCTATCGTTGTCGGCTTTTTCCTAGAGTGTCCCATCGGTCCCTGATCAAAACTGAACAGCTTCGTTCCTAGGATGGCACTCGTCCTATCCCATTCTTCTGTCGCCCACAATGATGCGTATCCCCCTTCTGGCGTATCATCCCAATACGTCTCGGGGTCCTGGGGCTGCTCAATGAGACACATCGTTGGGGCTCTCAATCGTCGGTGACGTGCCTTTCCTATCACCACAAGCATGCACACGCGCAGTATGATGATATCGTCGTCCCGGCATTCCTGCTTCTGTGCCCAACTGATAAATGAGTATCCCCACCTCTCCGGTCCGTTCCTCGACCTAAGCGGAATCGGACCAGGCCTTCTGTATCTCATCACGGACCTCGTTCTGCAAGGCGGTCCGGCTAGCCAGCAAAAAACCAAATTGGTCGTGGCCAGCTTCACTAGCCACCACCATGTATCAGATCGCAGCACGTTCTCCTCCATATCGATATCTATCACACTCATTCCCAGTTCGCTTGCGATGTCATCAAACTTTCCCCTTGACTTTCCACAACAAATGTGCACAATAACCCTTCTGCTCCCTTCAATCGCTTTCCTTATCTTCATGATTTCAGGTCTCGTTTCTCCCTGGGGCTTATGTGCCTTTCCGCCGTCAAGTATCTCTTGAGGAGCAAGTGGCCATAAACACCTTGCTATCTCGACTAGCGTCTCTGCCTCGCCACCGGTACCGATGTTCTTGTCCAGCATCATCGTCAGGTCATCTAGCCCCGCGTCTTCGTCCGCAGCCATTCTATTCAAGATATGTTTTCTCACCTTCGCGCTATCGCTCTGCACCGCTTCTCCTGCATCCGCTCCTTCGAATGTGAGCCCTTCTATCTTGAACATGGTCTTGCCTGTCCATAAGTCCTCTTCCGCGTCTCTATTCTCTCCCTCACTGTACTTGTCCACCCAGTCTATCCATTCCGCCACGGTTTTGCCATCTTTGTACACACGTTTGGATCTACATCTCTCGGCGAATCGCGGCACCAGTGCATGTATCTCTGGGAATTTCAGTGTTTCAAACCATGGATCGCAAGTCTTCGTTCTTGGCTTGTTGTGGAAACACACCGCTTTATTACCCGTTAACATCCACTTGTCTAGTAGCCTCCCGTCATCGTTGGTGGCCTTTCCTATCGGTTCCTCTTCGGTGTCTCTATCCGTGTCCGAGTCCACGCTTTTGGGGCTACATTCATCCTGTTTCTCTTCAAGTCTCCTCGGACTGGAATTTCCTCGCACGGGCAGTTCAATCGCAAGAGGTGCTGGCATAGCAGGATAGATGTGATAGTCATTACGCTCACTTTCGTTAACAACCGTTGACATTCTATCCACCATGTATGGGATATCCCCGATGACTTTTAGCACTATCAAGCTCGAATCAGGCTTGACGAACACGGGGTTTGCACCCGCCAGCCAATGAAATGAATATCCCATTTTCATACATCTCCTCCCCATTGATAGAACAGCGGGAGTACTCTCGAGCATTCTAATCCTCATCGTCTCAGGCATCCCTTGTATATCCATGCATATCTCTTGCTTTGACGTGGTGTTGCCGTTGGCAGTGTTGAACCTCACTTTCTTCGCCTCAATGGCCATATCTTTTTCATCCTGGGTGAGGTCTGCTTCTGCTATTAGATCCATAGCGCACCCCGAGTCTATCATCCATCGTCTCATTACCGGGGGCAAGCAATGTTGTGCAGACGCCGCCGGTTGACTAACCTCTCGACTATCCACGCGGAATCTCTCGTCGACTATACCTATTCTCCTGCATTCCTCCACTATCCTATCAGCCAGTCTTGATGCATCCCTACCTTCCTCGCCTTGCTCCCCGGCAAGTATGTCCAGCACGACCTCTTCGGCTAGGGATATTCCTCGTAGCCTTGCCTTTGCCTCTTCAATCACGGGATATCGTTTCACATCATGTACATACCCCTTCTTGTGTACGTTTTTGCATTTTCGTACCATCTTATCAGCTGTGTGTCCTTTCCAATAGCATATATCCAGTCCTGCTATCCCCGTCTCTTCGGAGCCCAACCCCTTGACTCGCCTATTACCCTTCTTCACTCGCTCCCTGCCTGTCGTCGTCACCAGTATTCCCCTATGCGTGCCTTCGGCGCCATCATCCCCTTGTCGTACCACAGGCATGGCCGCATACACCTGGCTATCCTCGCTGGCCTGTGGGTTTCGGCCCGCCCCTAGCGAAAACTTGGCCCTTCACCATCAGCATGTGGGCTCGACGGCCTCGTCTCCTTCTGCTCTATCTCTACCGTTTCAAAAGCCTCCCTAATGCTATTCGGGATAGCCTCATGGAGCATTTTACACTTGTCGTTTCTGCAGCTGCCGTACCGAAAATGCTCAAAGCAGTATCCCGCCTTCTTGAGGACCTCTTCCGCCTGACTATACAGATAAATATCGTGCGAATGCTTGCAGTCCGCCGCAGTCATCGGGCAAGTTCCACGCGTATAGGGGTAGCAGACCCCTCTTTTTCCAAACGGCGACTTGGATCCATATCTATTCTTCGGGTCATCGGCTCTCCCCGCCTGCGAAAGTCCGTCCCTGCCTCTTCCCACAGATATCCCTCTTCCGTAGCTATTCCCCCCTGCGGGCGATGAACTCCTCGGTCTATCATCGGCGCACGCGCTTCTTCTATTCACCGGTGCTCTATATGATCCCTGCTGAGCCGGCATCGCAGCGTACCCACTCGTGAATGCCTGTCGACTCACCCGCATTGATGCCTCGTCTATGTTCTTGTCCGCTCTCCACATCTCCAGTCTATCCTTGATTCTCTTTCGCAACCAGGTATGAGTCTTGGCCTCGTCCGGAAGCAGTCGCCATGCCTCAATATCGTGGTTCAGCACCTGAACTCTCTGCACTTTCGAATGCAACATCCATCCCAGCTGTTGCTCGCTCCAGGTATTGCCTTTCAGTCCTATAAGGTTCGTGTGCGCTAGATCCCATCTAGTCATGAACTCCTCCAGTGCCTCCTCTTCGGGCTTCCCCGGGAAACTCATCACCTTCGTGCTACTCAGGCCATCGTACAGCACCTGACTCTCTTTTGCAATCGGGATCTCAACATGCTTTACTATCAGCGTAAGCAATCTCATGGCCGTCATCGGCTTTCCATCCCCCACTTGCTGAGTCTTGTACATCTCCATCTTCACCTTCGCCGACAATGACTCTGACTTTATTGCTCTCTTTAATCCGCTAAAAAGCTGGTTCTCTAACGCAGGATACTTGAGTTCCATGTCTATCATCGCTTCGCTCCTTTCGCGCACCCTCAATACCTGCGTGTATGCATAGTCCCCGTCATACAGATACGCAGCCTTCGCAGTGTGTGCAACATCGCCCAGCCACAGTCCTACTTCCCCGGATGATGGCTCCTTCGCTATCGATATCTCGTTGCATTTCTCCATCCCTCTGGTGTCCTTGAACTTGTTATACCCTCCGCCTACCGGATTTCTGAACCTGGCATCATCCCCCTCATGATCTCGTCCGCTCTGCGGCCTCGGAAGTCCTGTCCCTGCATACCCTCCGGCATCGCATCCCCTTCTATCAGTGGAACACAGCATGCACACGTCATCATGGTACTCATAACAATTACCACACACTTCTCTTCCGCAGCCATGGCATGCAATCATCATTTCTGCTTGTCTAACACATACAGGGCACCTTCTAATCCTAGTCTCTTCCCCCAACAGACCTCCATCTCCTTGTCTATCCTTTCTTCCATGCTCTCTTCTATCCCCAAACGAACTTGGCGCAGGCGTGGCACCGGCACTTGGTCTTGCGGAGCCAGCGTTCGAAGCACCTCCCGCAGCCGGCGCCGGCATAGCGTACTCGGAGCTCTGCTTGGCGATCTCACCGATTCTATTCCACATGCTATCCAGCTCTGCTTTAATGCTATCGTTTCGTTTCACCTGCTCCAGTCTCCGCTCATACTCTCGTACCGTTGCCTCCAACTGCTCGTTCTTCTCTTTGAGTTCAATCATTTCTCTACTACGAAGATCGAGATCCGCTCTCATTTTAGATACCTCATCTCTATTATCCCGGATCATCCGCGCTACCGACTCTGTCACTCCTTTGTTCTCCCCCTTCATGCTTTCTATCTCACTGAGCAGGCTAGCGTTCTCCCTCACGATCCGCTCATTCACAGTGGTCAACCCCTGCAATTGACTAGTGATCTTGGTCACCTGCTGTTCTAACACAATGCATCTATTCTCAATCCTTCGATCTACCACAGGACCTGCCAACTCCGGCCTCGAAGCCTCTATCCCTCGGGCGTTGTCGCTCCTGGCTCTTCCGTCGGCTCCCCCACTCCCACCGTGACTATCTCGTCCGCGTGACATGGTCGGTGGCTTTCCTATCTCCGCGCTGTTTCCTCGCATCTTGCCTACCCCTTCGTTCCGTGCGCTCTCATCAATTCGAGCATTGACAAGGATAAATTCGCCCGTGACTCTCTTCTGCTCATCTATCATACGGCTCGACATTGATTCCATTGTCTTTTCCATCTTTCGCACGGTATCCTTCACCCAGGCCTGTTCTCCGTTTCTCTTCTCATCCATCCGATCGGACCTTGCAGCGACATTCTCGCAAGTCTTGTGAACCTTTGTCATGTTCGCCACAATCTCAGCCACGCTTTTGCGGTTCTTTATCACCTCTCTCGCGACGGTCATTATGTGTTCCTTCTGCGCCAGAACCACTTCACTCAGCTTCTTGGTTTCGCCCCGCACTGCCCCATCTATGCACGTGCCGTGACCCTCGCCAGGTTCTCTGCATCCGCATCCAGGACCTTTTCCTTGGCTGTTGCAATGTGACGACGATGCCGTATCTGTTCCGGCTTTCTGGCTCCCCTTGGACTTCAGCTTCCTTAGTTCCTCGCCCGCTATCTTGATCTGGTCCCACTGTCTATTCAAAACCGTCTCTACTTTATCCAGTCTCTCGTTCTTCCATGTTCCATTCTCGTGTCGCATTTGCATGCTCGAGAAGACTACACCTATGCCACGTCTCACCTCGTTCAATCCTGTCTCTAACGTGGTGATCTTCGTCCCGGTACTCTGTTTGGCTATGTCCGCTGAATGCTCCGCTGTGGACAATCGCTCCTCCACTCCCTTCAATCTAGTCGTAACAGAGGTCTTGAGCACCTTCACGTTTTCAACCTGCCGTCTCATTCTCCGTGCGAGCTGCATTGCTCCCTCGGTCAGTTGCGGAGCCATTGCATCATCCATCCTATCCTCGCTGACGCTCCCGTCCATGATCCGACTCATCTCTTTCAGCTCCTGCGACAGTGTTGTCTTGGTATCTATCTGCTGCGATTCTATCCAACCTTTCCAGTGCTTCACCTCCTCCTCGCATTCCACCAATCTCTTGCTCACGACGTCCGCCTTTTCCGCTGAGCTATTAGCAATTGCACTTGCACATTCGCTTGCCACCTTAAGCTTGGCTACGTCGGTCTGCGTGTCCACAACCACCGTCTGCAAGTCATCTATCCTGCCATCTATCTCTCCCAACGACGACTTGTCCGGATCAGCAGGAGCTCTCATCTTTGCCCGCCTGGGTGGGGATGATGTTGCCCTCATCTCGTCGTTCCTGCCTCGTCCTTCAGGAGGAGTATCGATCCCGAAATGCTCGTACTGCCCACCTATCCCAGGAGATCGTGGAGCCGGGGATCGATTGCCCCATCCTTCGCTACCCTGATCCGGGGTGATCATTCCTGCCTGATGGATCGGTCCCCCAATTTCTGTCGATTTCGACTTCTTCGCTGCGGGGACGCTCTCGGCTATCTGGTTCATCTCCTTAACGGCCTGCTCCGCTCGTTGCTTACGCAGTCCCTCATCCATCTTGCCTATCTTGCTGGTGGTACCAACTCCATTTTCCGATCCACCCGGGCTATCCCTCTTCAATGATGTAGATCGACCACCTGAGTGCCCACTATCCGACCCCATCGACATCTTTCGTGACCTGTCTTTCTCTACCCCTGCGATCTCGGCACCATATATCCCAGCGTTCCACCGTTCCTGCGAATCCGATTGCATCGTCATGGGCGTTGATCCAGGCTCTCCTGGCCCCTGATCTGTGAAGAACTTCGCAAAGTCCATGTCAGTGATGACCCCCGTTTCCTCGAGCGTACTCCGGATTCCATGGGATCCCCACTCTATTCCGATCGTCGTAGTCTGACCCATCCTCACATCCTTCAACGCTTCAACGTTCCCGCCTGGTGATGCCTCCGAGAGACCTGTAGATGAAAATACAGACAGTGCTCTATCATCGCTCTCACTGACCACGTTCTGCGCTACCGCTGACGATCCCTTAGCTATCAACTCCAGGTCTGTAGGATCGGCACCGACATTCCCAATCATGGTCGCACTATTCAAATACACTCCTGGAACGAGATCATCTCCATTCCCTCTGCCCATCCAATATCCGCTATCCGCACTTCTCGTTCGATCGCCCTCCGCACCGAGCTCGCCACTGGGCATCATCGCATCTATTCCATCATCATTCCTCCTGATCGTCCTATCATGATCTGACGATGATGACACTGCAAGACTATCCACTCTGTCCTCGATCGCCATTTCTAACCTGGAACCAGTGATTCCCTTGGCACCTCCCGTTGACTCGTAATTCGTCCCGTGGGACACAGGCTCGGAGGGGATGACGAACGGTCCCTCTTCCATCCTTTCATCTATTCCAGCCAGATCCTCGATAGCAAGCGTCGGAGTCCTAGCGTTTCCCGCTTCTATCCCACCTCTTCCGGCCCTATACTCATTTAAATCTGTAGCTCCCATAACTGGATCAAACACTACAGGACGGCTTGCAAGCATGCTGAGCTGCATTACGGCATCCCCTCTATCTGCTATCGACGGGATTGCGAGCAACTCCTGCAATCCTTCGTCTGCGTCCCTCCCCTGAGTGCCCGACGTGTCCGCTATTCCGGCATAGCCCAGTCCTCCCGACCTCCCCACACTATCCATCGCCGCCACGATCTCCAAGTTTCTATCCGTCAGTCCTGGGGGTGGTCCTGACACTAACATATTATTCGCAGCACTCGACCTGATGTCTACAGTAAGCGGTCCTGAGAAACTGAGGCCGAGGCGATCTCTATCAGCACTGCTATCCATCTCCATTCCCGTCCTTCCACTATTCCGTCCGTCGTCGATGAAGTTCACGTTCTCGGCGTCGGCTATGCTTCTCACATGACTATCGGCAGCGGCCACATCCTGATTGACCGCAGTGACCTGGTCCTCGAGAAATCTATTCCCTACTCCCAACACATCACTATCGCTAGACTCACTGCTCCCAATGCTATCACGTGTGGACATTGCTGCAGTCAACGAACACAAGTGACAAATGCGGAAAACTTCGCTATGCAAGTGGTACCTCTTCGCTATACCAAGAAAACTTCTCGAACAGCTCGTCCAGGCCAAGCAACAAGGCTCTTAACCTGTGCGAAGTGTCCAATCCAATGAAAACTTGCGCAACCCGTTCCAGTAACTAGCTCAGGCCACACGAGAAGAAAGAAGTTGTATATTTACAGTTGTAGGTTGTAATGTTGCACCAGAAGTAACAGTATCCCTGTCAACGGGGAACTCAAGGTAGCTAGCCAATCGTTCCAAGCCACTCCCGACGTTAACTATCGGAAGGATCCCCAGAGTTGCTATCTCCAGGGGGTGGTAACCTATCGCTCTAGATGTATCCACTAGCCGTCCGGCTGCGTGTTGTACACCTATCCCGATATTCACCTGAACAGCCACCTGCACTCAGTATCCTCCGGCCTCCGGCTATGAGTTGTAAAGAGAACAGATAACTATCCCGAGGTTAGGGAAAAGGATCTATTCCTCGTCAACGCCCGACCCTTTTGGCTCCTCTTTCCTCCGGATGCGAGTTGGCCAATCAAGTCCACGACGTACAGGAATACTATCCACGGGGGCGAAAACTGTACAGATTCGGCTGCTACAATACTAGAAGGGCCCTTCTTGAGCAGCTCACAGCTGCGACCGGACATGAAGTCCAACATCTATTCCTGCTCGTCCACGATGAGGTCGATGTCTATCCCAGGCCCAAACCCAAAAATTACATGTACATCTAAACAGCACCCCATGGAATCAACCTGACCTCTTTGTGCTAAACACCCCCAAACTCGGACCCCCTGCTGTCTCTACTAGAACTTCGGTATATCGCAGCTCCATCCCCTGACCCAAAAATTGCCAAGCAAGACCCTTTATCAACCCTAAACCCTAAACCCTAAACCAAACCCTAAACCCTAAGGCAGCAGCCAAGAGCTCCTCGTAGAGCGCGATGTGACAGAATTGACCCAGGTGTGGTACTTCATGATCCGGAACGCCACGCAGGATGCGCCGAAGACAGGGATCATGAAGAGCCGCGATGCGCTGAAGTGACTCGGGAACCAGTTCCAGAGCTCTGCGAGACCAAAACAGCATCTGTGAACGACGCTGGGCACTGAGCTGCTGAGGCTGGAGCGCAATCTCCTTGATGAGCTGCGGCAACGGCTCAGGGAGCCCCGCCGAAACTGAGAAAGGATGAACGACCTGCAGCGCCCATTGGACGGCCTGTCCTGGCGTGACCTCCACCTCCAGCAGCGGTTTGACGGCACCCCTTTTGAGCTGGTACCCGGCGAACTGTGCCAAGCGAGCGTTTTCCTCTTGTCGGTGACCAGACCACGCTTTTCGCAGACCCAGCGCGCGCTTGCGCGGCTCTTGATCGTCCAGCGCAAACGTAGGAGCCAGCCATGAAAAATCCCCGCGAAGTAGAAGTTGAATTGTACGAGCCATGACCACGCAGAGCTGGTTGGGGTAGACCTGCGATTGCTTGGTGCGGAACTGCACGGAACCATTGGCATGGCGACTCGTGCCGCGCAAGGAGCGATGTCGATGTCCTCCGGGGCAAGACCGACGCCACTCCAGGCAGATCTCCGCGGAAGCCAGAAACCTTGTCGGCTTACGAGAGGCCGCGCCGAACGCGCACTGATCCAGATCCACATTGAAGGTGCGAACACGGCGCTGCACATCGAGGATCGGCGGAGCGTCCCAGATGAGGCTGGTGAGGGGATTTTTGAACGAAAAGTTGCCCCCCGCGAAGAACACGATCTGGAGCACCTCGATGGAGCGCCAGAGGAGCGCATTACCTAGCTGGCGAGCCACCCGCCACTTGCGGCTCAGCATTGGCAGGCCCATGGGGAAGAGCTTTGAGCGGAGCGGCGGGGGACCATGCGGCAGTTCTCTGGCGATGCTAAACGAACTGCAGGGCGTACCCAGGTGAATGAAACCAATGGCACCCGCTCGAGCGAGCGCAAGAATCCGCTCCCAAAATTCGACGTCCAGCACATCGCGAGATTCCCGCACGTTTCCCACGATGACCACATCGATTGGCGGCAGAACTGGAACGCCAAGGGCACGGAGCTCGTGCGAGAGTCCAGCCTCACCAGCGAATATCTCCAGGAAGAATGGCCCCTGTTTTGCGACCTGGGCCGCGTCGAGAGGCACATCATCCCATGTAAGCCACTGATCAGGCGGCTTGATGGCAGGAGCAGCTGTCTGAGCCGGAGGCTCGTCATTCGCTGCCCAGGGCCCGATCGGTGTGTACCACGTGCCTGGAGGAGGATCGAGCGGCTCCTCCAGCGCGGCTTTGTAAGCGGCTCAGTGATTGCCGTGCCAGGGGTGCCCCTGGCCGCACTGAACACAGGCATGCTGATCTTTACACTGATCTCCGAAACGACACCCCAAGGAGCAGTTGTACCAGGGGCATCGCTTCTTGCCCTGGTACTTGAAGCTCATGATCTTCGACCACTCCTTTTCAGGCACGCGAACATCACGTGGCGGCCGAGGGAGCTCAGGGGCACGGCGGTCTCTCCTTCTTCTTGGATCCTTCTTTGGCGGCCTTGAGCAAGGCCCGATCGCGCGCGCGGCGAGCTTTGTTCTTGCGCTGCTTGGCCGAGAGCTCGGGCTTGTCTCCGGACGGCGGGCTCGCCGAACGGGCACGCTCTCGCTTTTTCGGAGTCGCGGCCATCTCGAGCTCTGCCTGCTTGAACTTGTCAATTTCGGCGGACGACCTGGCATCGTTCCAGAGCTGCTTATGGTTGTCGAGGACTTCGACGAGCGCCGCCGAGTAGGTGGGGAACTGCTTGCGCTTGTCGTGGTTGAGCTTGAAGACCTTCTTGCGGATCAGCGCGTCTGCGGAGAGAAGAAGCGCCAGACCACGATTTTCATGCCGCCATTCCTCGAGCTCTGAGAGATAGCGAAGCGGTCCGGCCTTATGCGAGAACTCGCAGATGTTGAGGAACTCGAGCGCCATGAAGAAAGCATGTAGCCGATCAAGGACTTGGCCTTCAGAGCTGACCGAGCACTTCACGTCAGTCTGCACGACCTTGATCAGGTCATCAGCTGTCTTGGTCAGGCCCCCTGTCTGCACCAGACGATCGGCGCGTGTTCTCATTTCTGCGACTTCGTAAAAGGCGACCGCCCCATGAACGACATAGTCCCGGTAGAGTCGTTCCACGAGCTTCTGGCGCGGTTCCTTGTAGTAGGTGAGGATTACGTCAGGGTGAGCTTGAACAAAGATCTCACGGAACTCTGCGTGGTCTTCTCCGGGGATCTCCGGGATCTTGCTCGGATCCTCTTCCATCTTTGAGCGCCGCGTGGCGACGTGATCTTGTAAGGAAGATGACGATCGCCAGACTGCAGCTAACATGGTGAGCGACAGCTCTTTCTCCGGCGCCGTGGCCCCGAACTTGCTGTCGTCAGCCGCCAGCGCCTTGAGGGAGTTCTTGACCGTGGCGATGTTATCCCCGAGCATGGCGATTCGCTCGACCGAGAGCATCCCAATCTCTGCCATGAGCAAGCACATTGGCGTTGGCAGCTTCTGTCTGCCGAAGATCTGGCGGACCGCCAGATCCGGCGTCTTGTCAGCAGGGTAGATGGTTCGATCGACCATGCTGGGGAAAGACTACCAACGAGAGAGGGAAGAGGAGCCGAATGGAAAACTGCAGGTACCTTCGAATGAGAGAGAACGAGAGCAACATGTGAGCGTGAAGCGAGCCTCTGGCACTTTCTGAGCTCAGACAGAGACACCGAAGAGTTTGGCCACATCGGGCCGAGCTTTCGCGCATAGTTTGCACAAAAGCTTCTCGTCAGGCAAGACTGATCCTATGTTAATGAACTCAGGATCCCTTACCCGGCGGCAAGCGAGCTCTTCAATTGAGTCTGCTGAACAGCAGTGAAACTTATATTCATATGAACCACTGCACTTTTCAGGAGCTTTCATGAAGAACGCCAAGAGGCAAGGATCCGCATCTTCGTCATTAACGATCTCATCGTCTTCGCGAGCACATTTGGGATGGTATGCCCTCTTGATTTCTGTCACAATCTCCCTGACCATCACCGCCGGAACAGAAGACCGCGAACGGGTGTACTTGAGGACCAAGGGTCCCGGATTCTTCCAGTTAGCTTGGAGCCCGATCTCCTCAGTCAAGCGCTTCATGTGCACGGCTTGGTCAAGCATCGTGACTCGAGCTGAATGCCACGTCAGCTTAGAGAGCGTCTGGAAGACCTCGGGCGCCATGTTGGCCTTCTTTGGCAATGTTGAAGAGAAGGAAATGGAGCCACTGGAGACCTCGCCCATGATCCGGCGGCAAAGACCCGAACGAGTGCTGAGACGCACGGTCAGCGAGCCAAAAATCTCGCTTTCGATCCTCGACCGAAATGGTCTGGAGAAAGAGTTCCCAGCCTACTTGGAGCCACGGCTTGTCCGAGAAGGAGACGTCGGGAACGATGAACTTCGTTCCTCGTCTCTTCCGCTCAGTCTTCGTTTGCCAGGAGACACCGAGGAGCCCATCGTCCGTCATCTCTAACTCCGAGGGTCGAACATGAACTGCGTCGTCGCACCGAAGCGACGCAAAGATCATGCAGAGAACCCACCAAATGAAGAGTCGAGCCGGAACAAAGAAGCCCTCTAGGACGAACGCCTCCATGGCTTTGATAAGATCCAGATGATAAGCCGTTGCCTCTTTGAGTGGCTTGCCGCGCTTTACGAAGACCTCTTTCTCCAGTGCCACGAGCTGCGGAGAAGAAAGATCAGGAAGCTAGAGGCCGATCCGGAACGCGACCCACTTCAGAGCCGTCCTCAGGGACGGGATCACAGTTGGTCCGCATTCTGCCCGATCCAACGCAAGGGCGTACTTCAGGACCTTGTCCTCCGTGATCGGAAAGAAGGGAATGGAAGCCCGATCGGCCCAGCCCTCAAATCTTTCAACTCTCCTTATATGACCACTCATGGTAGAGGGAGCCCCTGCCGTCAGCACTAGGCTCTTGAGCTTCTCGCGCTCCAGAGAAGCAAGAACATCGGGCCCCTCTCCGGTGGCTGCGAACGACTCACCAAGTCCGGCGAAAGAGCCCGCGCGGGTGGCGATATTCTCCAAGCGGCGACCCCACTTGAGCTTCTCCGCTGTTTCGAGATCGAGCAGCGGCGAAGCAGAGGAGCTGCTGCTTGCCGGAAGCTTCGGCTTCGGCTGCCTGCACGGCTTGAGAATTGACAGCATAGCTGTCTGCCTTTTCAACTCGAGCGAAACATCTGGGCCTTTGACCCGAGCAACTTTCGCAGCTGCTCCGACCCCCAGCTGAAAACTGTAGGACTCAGAGAACACAATTTCAGCAGACTTTGCAAAGACCCAGAGCTGCTCGAGCATCTCAGGCCGAGCGACCAAAGTTTTGTGGTGATCAGGTGCCAAAGATGCAGACCATTCCAAGACTTTAGCTGCGAACTCAGCTTCTGATCCCACCTCCATTGACAAAATGAGCTGGAGATTGGAGAGATAGGTGTGAAGAATGGCATCCCGAAAAATGAGATCGAAGCATGGGAAAGAGAGGATCTTATGGATCCACCGATCGGGAAACTCATCAACTTGCAACATGATCTGAGCCTCACGCCCGGGCACAGGAAAGCGTCAGAACTAACCACCACCCGCGCGCGAGACCCCAAACAGAAACGCGAGCGAGCGAGCGCGAGCCGAAACCAGCGACGAGCCCCGGGACCCCACTGAGCCAGCGCGAGAGGGGACCCCCAAACCCCCACCTCCCAGACCCAGCGGGAGCCGCCCCAGAACCCACACCGGCCCGACCGGACACCGCACGAGAGGAGAGAACCCCCAACACCCTTCCCTCGCATGAACATGAGAAGAGGGGAAAGCGTCAGCCAAGTCAGCAACACACAAGAGCAGAACATGCAAAAGACAGAACTCTGCATGAACATGCATCCCGTATGAGTAACGTGCGAGCGCACTCTTGCAAAACTCTTGAACACTTTCACAGGCTCGAGAGTTTTTGCCTCGTTCGCCGAGGATCAGAGCTCGTCAGATCGAGCGGTCTGCGAGGGTGAACTGGAAAACATACAACCCTCTTAAAGCGATTCTGAACTTAAACGGAAAATTAAAGCCACGAGCCTTTGCCGAGAACTGTTACGGCGTTCGGTGAGGTCGAAATGACTGGGGTGGGCCTTCCGGAGCCGGCGGCATCTCGTTGTCGACCTCGGCCTCGGTGTCGACCTCTTCGCCGATGAGCGGCGGAGCCCTGCTGGAGCCTTGACCTCGCGGATCTTGAGCTTCAGTAGCTGCAGCCCCGGCCGGAAGCCTCACTTCCTGGGTTGGGGGAGCTGCAGCGATCGTCGTTGAAGTCGATCCAGCCTGGTTCTCGGAGTCGACGAGCTCCTCAATGACCGGCTCTCGTCCCGAACTTGACGGCTCCGTAAGGTTCGCCTCCGGATTCGAACCCATGTAGCCTGCGAACATGCCCGGCGTGAGCTGAGCTGTCGAGCGGGCAAAAGAGCGATTGGCTCGGGCTGCATCACGAGCGTGATCTTCAAGGTGTCCTCTTGTAGTCTCCTGCTCCTGATGAAACTGCGGAGCAGCGCCAAATGACCTGACTTGGAGCTCGTACCGTGTACGATCGAGCTCGTTGCCGCCATCACGCTGATCCGTCAAGCTGGCCATCGAACGGGAGGAGGAGGCTGCCTGCTGCCACGAGTTGGCAGTCACTGCGAGCGGGCCTGCAGGAGCCGGAAGTTCTTGACCACGATCGTGGGACATGTTCGCAAGAGCTTCCAAAGGAACCACCAAGGTGCACTGGATGTGAAAGTTTCCTGCGTCCAAGCCTCCCACGAACGTGATGAGCGCGCCAACCCTTCCCCGATCAGTGGTAAAGGCTGCATTGAACCAGGCAGAATGAACAGCCGCAAGCTGAGCGAACTGCTCGGTCTGCTCGGGTCCCTCCACTCGAGCTCGTTGGCGACGAACCTCCTGGATAGCGTTGATCAACGTGGGACCGGAGATGTGCGACACGGTGAGCCAAGTTCCTGGCACGGATGCGCGAGCGCACTTCAGGTCGATCCTGTTGTTCGCGTCACGAAACCGGAACTCGACACGATCAGCATCGTTGCCATAGGCGTCACCAGATGCGCGATCGCACACTCGGATCTCCCACCTCGATCGAGCAGAGTCACCTGCGACCACTGTCCCACGTGGCCCCACTGCGTAGGTTTGACCTCCACACTCGAACGAGAAAACACTGACCCGCCAGCCAATGAATGCAGCCACGATCACCGAAAGGCGAGCACGACCTCGATTGCAGCTGCGGATCAGAAACTCATCGCAGAACTGCTGCTGGACCGAGAGGTCTGTGTCTGCACGGAACCCACGGAAGATCCAGTGAAAAAGGATCTCATTGCCATTGTACACCTTGACATCTGTGTACGACGGGAACTATCCCGTAACACCGGCCAGGTAAATGGATAGAACGCAGGATGATCCAAAGCCTTGGCCGTGTCTCGATCCCAGCCAGCACAAGGAACACCTGTGATGCTGTCAATAGCGATCGCCAAGGTGACCTTGATCCCGTCGAGGGTGTAGTTCGCGAACAGCGACATGTGAAAACCAGTGTTCGGTGGCATCACTTGATCCCGTTCAGTAAGAACATTGATGGAACTTGCGCTGTTCGTCATGATCTCCTTGACGAGCCAGGCCTGAAAAGGCGACACCATTCTGTTGTCGCGATCGTCCGACATGATGATGGACGAACGTGTGGCGTCTTCATCACAGACTGCGACCGAGGAGAGGTAGATCGGGAGCCGCACCTCGTAGGGGTCGTGAGCCGCATTTGCTCGAGGGAAACGACCTCCTCCTCCTCGGCGATCGCCGTGTCCGTGTCCGTAGCCTCCCCATGCGGCCATTATTCCCAGGCCCTAGATCAAAGGCAGAGAAAAGAAAATTTCTCAATCCCTGTGGGAGGCTGACGATCGCTTCAGCCAAAATGGCCACGATCGCAGCCTTCATGTGATCTCACAACTTGAAGTGGCCCTCGAACCCCTACCTACCAAGCCGTCATTCGAGAACAGACAGAGAGACAGAGAGACAGAGAGACAGAGAGACAGAGAGACAGAGAGACAGAGAGACAGAGAGACAGAGAGACAGAGAGACAGAGAGACAGATAGACAGAGAGACAGAGAGACAGAGAGACAGAGAGACAGAGAGACAGAGAGACAGAGAGACAGAGAGACAGAGAGACAGAGAGACAGAGAGACAGAGAGACAGAGAGACAGAGAGACAGAGAGACAGAGAGACAGAGAGACACACGCACGCACGCGCGCGCGCACACACACACACACGCAGAGACATAGAGATAGAGAGACACAGAGAAACACTTCTCGAAAGATCGCGCGCTTCACCAGGTATGTTAACTTTGTCTTGATCTTGCAATTTGTGACTCATTTTGCAACATGCTTCACGCTGACTTCTGGAATGCTGTCCAAGCAACCCACAAATGATCTCAAACCAGCAACAAGCTCTCAAAATCCCCAGGCCCTAGGTTGTTTTGCCGAGTGGCAGGGGGCCCTGGCCCTGGCTCGGCATCTGACCAGGTGTAAAGCGGTAAAATTGTGAGCTGGGACCCTCAGAGTTCAGGGTCCCTTTTCATGATCCTCGACAAGTGACAGTAGGTCCTGACAGCGCGGGGAAAGAACTAAACGTCGAACACCACGAGCGCCATCACTTCGAAGCCCTTCGAAGCACACTTCGAATCCGAAGCCCGTCGAAAAGAACGGCGAAATGCGCCTGCGGGAGGCTGGTAGCTGCCATCCCGGCTGTGGGCGGCGGTGGGAAGAGCTTGGCCAAGGCCTTCCGAAAGCCAGAGAAAAGCTTCAAAAGCCAACATGCGCTCTGGGATGCCGATGTTGCGCACGCAGCCCGACGGAGTGGGCCGCCCCGACAAAGGCTCTTCACCGACTTTGTTGCTGTGAAGCATGTATGCCTGGACACAGCGCGGCCCTCTCTGACTATCCCGCTCTGCGTCTGTTTCCGCCTCTCGGCAAAAGACCGGGAAAAATGACATTCTTTTTAAAGGTTGATTCCTTGCACCCCCCGTATTATCCTGCTCCTGAATTTTCCGGCCCCGGCTGGTTGCGGTACATCTCTCAAGTTCATTCAGGGCTACTGAACCCAATCTTGACCTTCGAGCTACCAACACCCCAAAAGCGCCGCTCAATGCAATTGGGACCTCGTCACCAGCGCCGTGAGATGTAGTCGAAGAAGGCCTAGCATCGGATTCCCGAGATTCGTAGCAATCGCGCCCGTGTCCCTCGTGCCACCTTTCTGAGAAAATCCGAGCTCCTGGCTGAAAATCGCTGGGCACGGCATCCAGCTGCCACATACAAAACACTCCGAGCTCTGCATGAAGAGTGATTCTCAGTTTTCGGTGACTGCACGCGACATGCGATTCCTTTTTTAATGGCTCGCGCGCTGGGTTGCGATCGCCATGCCTAACATCTTTAATCACTCTCTGTGCAACCCATACGCCGGCAACAGGCTAACACATTGTGGGGACCTTTGCCCGAGTTGCGACGTTCACCGCATGCTAGCTACCTTAAATTAATTGACATACATGTTTACGACGGGCCCAAGTCCGGCCGAGATGAGGTTCCTGGGGCTTTCATTTCTTGCGCAGTCGAGCTCGATTGAGCCCTAGCAGCCCAGCATTGGCCTTGGTCTGAGGGTTTTTGTGAGCGAAATCAAGCGACTCCGGTCCTGACGGGATGCCGCCAGTGCCCGGAAGATCATGTGGTCCGAGTCTGTTGTACGGCTACTCTTGACTGAAACCTGCTTGTTGATTGTTGGGTGGGAGACACCAGCACGTTCAGCTGCCGTTCCCTATCGCAATCAATGCCGACAACGCCGGATTCGGGAAGGCTCGGATATCTCCATGTCAAAACGTTGGCTGAGTGTGGAGACTTGACATGTCTCGACCACATGGACGGTGAACAGTGCACGTGGGGACTTGATCTTCCGGTAACTGCGGCAGCTCGAGGATGACGGCTGCTTCAATGCCACATGGTCTTGAAGCACTTGCCGTGTGTGAAAGCCCGCAGACTGCGACAAGGCTCAAGAAAGATGATGCGCTTAACCAGCCGATGGGGCAGAGGCCTCCATCCACAGGCTTGGAAGCCCTCGACAAATCGGTGGCACGCAATTTGGACATTGGAGCATGCTTTTTAGGAGACTGCCAGGACGTCACTGCGGTGCCACTCGCTGGCCCTAGTACTCACTGGCACGAAGTTTATGAGCACCCAAGCTCACGTGCTGTTCCTGATGCAACAGGTCGATTTGCTCACGCGTGCTGTGCGACAGAAGTGGACTGGTCGGTTTGTTGGAGTGCTTTGCTCGGTGTCTTGCACCGACGCATCCTTTTCGCATGCTGTCTGGGACCTTCGTGCTGCCCATCGTTGGGCACGGGCGTGGATCCTTTGATCGTGTGAAAGAGAAAGAAGACAAATAGGATCTTCAGAATCACAAAGACGTTGATTTTGGCTAACTCCACATATTGGCGTGTGAGGGCAAAGTGTCTGAGAGTCGAACACCGAATGGCACCATGACCTGAATGGCATCACACGCAACTTCGGGCCTGCAGTTTCCGGCCCAGCTCCATCACCCTGGAGCGCTCCTTGGGAAAGCGCTCTGAGATTTGCTTCGTCGATTTGAGGTCCTTTTGATGTCAAAGGGTTGGTCTTTTGATGCTTTGAGCACACAGCCAGGCAGCATTTACGATGACGGTATACCAGGCGATGGCAGGGCACCTTTCCAGCTGGCTTTTCCGTTCACGACCTATCCCGACAACCTGCTCTCTTCTTCTTCTTCTTTTTCTTCGAATCCCTTCCCTCCCTCCCTCCCTCCGTCCCTCCCTCGCTCTCTCTCTCTCTCTCTCTCTCTCTCTCTCTCTCTCTCTCTCTCTCTCTCTCTCTCTCTCTCCCCAACACCTTAAAGCCATGTCCAAGGCCATCACAAAGCAAGTTTCAACTTCAACTGTCGCCGAACCTACTCGGAAACCACAGATAAAAGTTGAAGAGCTCATGTCGCAGCAGGCAGCTCGGGTAAACCACCCCTTGAAGAGCTCCCCGAAGTGTGATGTCTGGGTCCCCGCGCAACGTGGCTCCGAGGGTGGTCCACAGCCCACGCCGACGGAAGCCGAGCTGCCTGCCAAAGGCAAAGCTTTGGAGAACCTCGATCCTTAGAGAAGACCTGCAGTAACTGCAGCTTTTAAACAGATGCAATTCCTGTTGCGTGGGTGGCCATCGTGCCTGGAGAACTTGCTGACTGGATTGTGGAAAGGTGCTCTGTTTGTGCAAACGTGGCTTAAAGACGTACTTCTCACCCTTCTTTGGAGTTCATTCTTTGTTTGGGAACTTTCTTCCCTCAAGTTCAGCACGGAGCCCACTCTTGAAACAGAGCCTTGCGAAGGCATAGAAGCCGGTGCCGCCCAGAAGGGCCGAGGAGCCCATCGCCAGGGAGATCCGCCGCCCGAACCTCGGGGAAAAAGCTAAGTCGGCTGTTTCTCCAAAATCGATTGAAAATTATGGCTAGGTGACGTTAAAATGGATATTCCACCATATTCCACCGAATCATGTGCGCATCAGATAGGGCTGCAGCTGAGACCTCCGCGAGAGGAAAAAAGCAATCAGGGAGCTCCTTTCAACTGATACCGAAGCACCAGAACCAAGCCACAAACGAACCACCTGAAACCGACAACGTCGATCCCCTCCATGAAATCAAGCCTAACTGTGCCAAACTACACTTAGATCTTGCAGATCATGCCTATCTCACCCAAACAATCTCTGCTGGGCTCTGCGCTCGTCCAGGAAAGCCTTGTCCTGCAGAAATTGAAATCCCGAGTTGCAGTACACTGATGTAGAATGCAGTACTGCTTCCACCATCAACCTAGACCACCTAAACTCTGCTCGGCGCACGTCATTGACGTTGACTCCACAAGAGTGTGAGGCCCAGGTTTCCGAGATGCAAGCCCAATGCGCTGGCCGCTTGTAGTGAAAGTCCCGGACGAATTTCCTGACCCTCAAATCTTATGCAATGAACCAATGGCCACACTCCAAACCAAAACCTAAGCCCGAAGTTTCTTGCACCTTGCATCAGAAACACGTAGCGCTACCTGAAGCTTCAAAGAAAGAGAAGCACACCCCTCACAAACCCCTCACTCAGGCACCTCTAGGGTCAAGTTCACCGGTGGTCGGCCTGGCATGCCCAAGAAACTGCAAGTCAAACTCGATTTCGAGTTTGAGACAGCTTGTGGGGTTGGCATTGCTAGACTCTCAGAGGGGCTTAATGTGGTTTAAGGATGAAGGAATAGATTGAAACTCGCAGTTGTCCAATTGCGCCCCGAGTCTTCAATCCTATAGACTTGAGCCTGAGCTCGTGGCCTCCGAGCTGATACCTGCGCTATGTCGCCGAATCCCACGTCTCCACGCTTCAACCCCCCAGGCAGCCTGAGGCCGCCGAGCTCCCATCGCCAGGGGCTGCCATTCTCTTAGCGAAAGCTCTCGAAAATAATCCTTTTGAGGTTGTGAAACAGCTTGGGGCACTTGGGGGCACTTTTGGGCCTTCAATTTGGGACTCTCCATTCCTGCACATGGCTGGGCATTGCTGCGCAAAATCAGCGAGGTCTGCGTTTTCATCGTGGGCTTAACCCAGGGCCTCTAAGCCCCAAAGCTTGACAACTCAACTTGCCCAGCTTGCGACGGCCTGGGCCTGTTCCCCAAGCATCGCAGTCCCAAATCAAAATGTAGCTTGCATTTTCATGATGCCGACCGTCGAAGCGAGAATCGCATGCGGATGAAACCGTCAGCCTGCAGCGACCCCTTAATTATGCGTCGAGTGCTCCTAGTTTCCAGTTGGACTTTATCTTGGAACTGATCTGCTCGGAGTGTACGAGTAGCATGTAGCATTGGGCTCACAAGTACACCTCAAATCCCAAGAAAAGCAAAGTGCCCAAGAACCCCAATGTGCCAGGCCAAGGCTCTCAGAAAACCGTTGCAAGCCCTTTTCAAGCGAGGCCACGCGCTCCAAGCTCCTCCAGGATGGGAAACCCGCGTGAACACGGTGCATACACGGTGTGGACACGGTGTGGACACGGTGTGGACACGGTGTGGACACGGTGTGAACACGTGAGCTGTGCACAAGAAGAGGATCACCTTGGATCTCTGTAGAGCGTCGCGTCGCCCATCCTGATTCGGATGGGTTTGTCGAGGCTTGCAGATCTTTTCGTCTGAAGCCACTGCCGCTGCCAGGCAGGTGGATTCAAAAAACCAACTTCAACCCAACAGACTAAATCACGACATTTGCCACCTTGGGTTTCGGCTCCCCCATCGCCTCCCAGCTGGGGAGCTCGAAAGCCGGAAAGCCGGAAATCCACGCTGCCAGCTGGGCGAAGAGCTGCGCGATCCTGCGCCGGCTTTGCCGGCCAACCGACGCCGCAAAAGGCACCCGGCAGCTGAGGACCATGGAGGCCATGGCTAAAAGCCACCCCACGGCCTTTTGTTTAGTGATTTGTGTATATTTGTGTGCTGGAAAGGGCTTCCAAACACTCTACTTCGATGAGCGCCTCTGGGCAGAACCCTGTGTGTCTTCAGCAGGTCGAAAGCATTCCCGGGCATCAGACTATCCGAGGCGCCTACCGAAGGCTACCGGCTGCGGCTGCGTTCTTCACAGCCACTGGGGCTCTATTCCTATCGAAAATCTGGAAATGACGACGTTGAGATTGTACATGGGCCTTCATTCCCAATACTTCACCAAACCACTTCACTTTTTTGGCGAGGTGGTCAGCCCATGAGGTGGACCTTGTGTTCAGGGAGTGCAAGTCTAGGGCCTCTTGGGGGTAAACTAAAGTTGTCCGATTCCTCTTGAAGATCTGCACCAGGAAGTCGGGCAAGACAATGCCGAACCCAAAAACTTCTGAACAACAATATCCTTTCAACAGATTTCAAACGGTTTCGAAGACTTTGACGGCAAGAGGCGGAGCGACAGCTGAGCTGTCAAAGCCGGGACACCACCTGCCCAGGCTGGCGGCTGACGCAAGTCCAGGCATGTTTTTTTACATTGTCATAAGCCAGGACACTGCACCCTTATTTACATTATTTACCTCTGGGGCGTTTTTGGTGCCGAAAACCGAACCAAGTCTTGCGAGAGCCTAGGGCAAAGCAAGTCTCACACGGTTCTCTGGCTGCAGTCCTCGTGGTCCGAGTCCGACTCGTCGACATCCATGGCTACCTCATCACCTGCAACAAAAACAAAACGGGCTTAAAGTTAGAGGGCAAGTTGAAATGAAGCTGACACTCCTGAACTTCTCCAACGGAGAGACAATGAAATCGGCTCTAGTCCTCCAGTCTAAAAATCGACGTGATCATCGACCATGAACTTTGATAGCGGTTCCCTAAAAATGCTGCTTTCCTGTGGAAAAACCAGCTGCTAAGGGGCTCTTGCAGGCTCAGACCGTGTTGAATTTGTAAGCTCATCTCAAGTAATCACTAGTCACTAGCCCGTTACCTATGCGACTGGAGCAAGAAGACAGTCCTCCACACCCAACGTGCACGGCACGGCCGAAGGGAGAGCCGGAAGTGAGGCCAAGAGCTGCAACCAAGAGGCATCCGTGGGGAAGCAAGGAGACAGATAAGTGATCGGGAAGTGAACGTGTTCTGGACAAAACAAATGCAGGTAAAAACAGCAAATGCTCTGCTCTTGCTCGGGAAATGAAGCATCAGGGAACCGAGGGGGAACCGAGGTCTGTGCCCGATAGCCTTAACAGAGAACTCGCACGGAGATACACGGAGTCAGGGCATGGGCGTGAAGGGGGTCAGGGACCTGAATCCGCAAGTGGGGAAGGGAACGGGCAGGTCTTGCGACTGTGTGAGGACGGACGGGGCCGAAGCACCGGCTCCCAGACAAGACCCAAGCCTGGGCGTGACACGAGAGCGGGGAGGGTGCCATCGAACCATGGGTTGCAGACGAAGAAACATATTCAGCACCAAGCTCATATGATATCTGTGCTGCAAAGCACTTTGATCGTCCCCGTCCCACTGTGCGGTTCCGGCCCGTCTGGTGCCCCGTGATGCATTCGAACACACCCGCAACTGGCACACAGATTGGCATCCCAACTTACTTCATGGAGTCGCTATCTTCGTTGGCAGCAGAGCTGTGGACTCTCTACTGCCGCTGCTGCCCACTGCTGTAGGCGTGCCCAATGTGCCCAAACAGGCACACAGGCGCACAGAATACACACACTTCCTTTCGCAAGTCAGGCAAAGCGGCCAACAGTCGTGGGTAATGCTAGAAGGCACCTAGGGAAATCGCAGAAGTGACCATGACACAACTGACCCGCAGTAGCCGCAGCAGCTGCGGTTCCTTGCCCTGCACCACTTAGCGGCCTTAGCGTTGGCTCCCAGGGTCCCAGACCCGGCCTGCAGGGACTGCAGGGACTGCACCCTCGGGAGCGCCCTCCGGCTGTTGGCGGGGGCGCCCGAGCACGAAGATAAGGTCGGTCGGGAGGAGTTCGAGCTCCTGCTGAGTTTTCAGGTGAAGCTCGGAACCAGAACCACACAAGACGCACAGCCCTGCTAGGGACCTGTCTCCGGCTCCTTGGGAGGGTTGGTGATCACGAACGGAAGGCGGTTGGACATGTGGTCGCCTGCACCCGACAGGAAGAACGCTTTCTCGTTGCCTTGAGATTCTTAGGGCCTTGAGGCCTTAGGGCCACTGTTGCCGAAACCGGCTTGGGGTGATTGGCAAGTTGGCAATCTCGAGACTGTCAATCCGTGGGGCTGCCTTTGTCCTCCACACCGGTCTCGTTGACACCGTACTGCCTCGAGTTCCCCTTTTTCCCTTGTGCGGGCCCCTTCTCCCCAAGCTACCGATCCAAGTGCAACTTCTCTAGTCCGGACCGGCTGGTCGTACTGCTCCAAACAGCCGTTTCTTTTTCGATGAGAGTTAAGTTTAAGCCTCTTAAGACCCAAGGCACGGGGATCGGAAGTCCAGCTCCTCGGCTGCATGGAGGCCTCGTAGGAGCTTGCAGCGCTCAGGGCTTCTTGTGCTTGTCTGCACTGACGCATGTTGAGCGCTGCAGTAACTAAGGCTACCGGGGAGTGCATGGTCAGGGCGCAAGTCGGGTGAAATGTGAGGTGAGGAAGCTGCTGACATGTGAAATGGACCTCTCCTTTCCGATGAAGGCAGGACTGTGCTCAAGCCAAAGACTCTCGACCCCCCCCCCCCCCCCCCCCCCCCCCGACCAAAAAATGCCAAAAAAACAACCTTGCATACATCTCCTCCAAGGATGGAAGTGCCCTTCCACTGGGCTTCCACTGAGTGCAGGGCTCACCAACATAGAGTAAGACGACGGATTGCCCTGCCAGTATTTGCGGGATGTTGAAAGCTTTCTTGACGCTCAACTTCAGGGACTTGCAAAAGCTAGGTAACTTTTGAAGCATCTGAAACATTGCGACGAGCAGAGGTTTTCAGCTATTTTGCAGCTCTTTGCACTACTGGTTCATTGCCTACACTTCTTGATGCTGCCAAGCCGATCGATGCTGCTGTTGCCAGTGCTGAGAACTACGAGTGCCAAGTCTTTGATGCACAACCACACAGTGACAAGGGACGCCGATGCCACAGCCTGTGCCCGTGAACCCTGACCAGCTACACCAGCTGTGAATTGCTGAAAGTAATGTTGCCGACGTGTGCACTTGCCGCAGACTCCACCTGCACTGCCATCCAAAGGGAAGAACTCCTGACTACAAAACTGTTCAACTGCTCAAGCTTCTGAGCCTTCGGATAGCGGAAGACGCCCAAAGGAAGCATCGGCTCGCCTGGGCTCAGCACTGCCTTCAACACTATTAGGACCATGCTCCAGGTCACAAATCCGGCGAAAAAAAAGGAGCCGCAGAAACTCGTTCGGGTGATGGGGATACACTTGGCCGACGTGCGCGCCCCCTTTCGAGAACCGATCGAACAAACAGGCGAAGTGAACATGCCAGTTGGCCACATTGACTCCTTGCTCAGGCAAAGCGCGATGCGAGATAAGCATGTTCGCCGCTTCCCCAAAAGTCCTGCATCAAGGAGCAGGGCAACCTTTGTTGCTCTTTCTCTCGCTACTGGCCTTTCGCCCTCGATGCCTGCAAGCACAGAAGATATGCGAGAAACTGATGTGTGATAACCTCTGGTGACTTCACTGTTGAATCATGTTTCCCCCCCTCTCCTGCAGGAGGAGATAGTCTTGATCGTGGCAGGCAGTTGGAAGACACAAGGCTGGTTGGCGAAGCTCGGGCTGCCAAGCCCATGCTGCGCCTCTTTGAAACCGTCTCTGAAAGTCTGAAACCGCCGCCCCTCCCGCCCCTCCCCCCCCCCAGAAAAAAGGAAAGAGAACGAAAGAAATCACCCTTCTCTAACACCTCTTCGCGCAGGAGCCCAGAAAGCAAAGAAAGCACTTGTGACCCGGCCTTGGAGCCCACAGTGAGCCTGGGAGGGAGTTGGCCCCAGTTGGCTCTCGGGCTCTCGTCTCTCGTGTCTCAAAGTGTCTCGCATCAAGTCGTGCCCAGGTTCCCTCTCGCGTGAGGTTCAAGAGCAGGCTGTGTACGAAATTGCAACCCAAAGCCCTCGAAACAAAAGGGCACGTCTTTGCCTCCAAAAGTGCCCCCAGCGTCACATCTCGCAAGGCGACTCAAACATCCCCAAAAGTTCTCAAAAACCGATCATGAGACTCTGACTTCGTCTACAGCAGAGGCGCCCAGCGAGGCCGAAAAGGCGCTCCACGATGACCATGGCATCTGGGTTGAAGAAGCTCTCCTTTCCAGCGTCTTCGGCGTGGCTTTTGAGCGTGGCTTTTGGATCCAGGGCCATGCAAAGCTTCAAACGTCCCTTAGTTGCTTAGCCTTGTTGGGCCCCCTGTTCCCCTGATGCCGAGGAGCCATGAGAAACCGGTCTACTGTCGTCGTTGCGATGATGTGACCAGCTGCAAACAGGGGCGACCTGTGGACAAAAAGACATTGCAAGGGCGCGGTGCGGCACAAAACACGATCCGCACACCATCGAATAGTCTCCAACGCAAAAGCCCCCCCCCCCAGATCCATGATGCATGCAAATCCAAGAAGCATGTTCAACGGCGCCGAGGCCATCCAGCGGTCCTCGAAGAGGGACGTAGCGCCCTGCGCCTCCGGGTTCCTCAAAACAGACTCAGAGCTTGGCACCCTTGCACCTTCTCCCTGTGCTTTCAAATTCTTTCTGACTGCGGCAACGGGTGCAGCTCCATCCCCCCATTTCCGTGCTGCAAGCGCCGTTTTGAGCCAAGGCGCATGCCGAAGAAGCGGTTCAAGGAGCCTTCCTCCCAGTGGAAACTCGCTCAAAAAACTACCCAAAAACCACCAAGGCCGCCTGAAAACTGACCTTCCGGAGATGCGACATCCGTGACACAAAACATGTGAATCTGGATGGTGGCGAAAAAATGTAAAAAACAACAGCTGACTCCTGGAACATCTGTGTCACTGTCCAAACATCTCGCAGTTCTTCCCCTGGGGTGAACCTGAAAGAAATACTCGGCACAGCGCATGAGCTTTCAAGCGCATAAGCTGTCAGCCTTCTCAAGCGCACGAGCGGGGAGCTTCGAGATCGGAGTCTAAGTGCAAAGGCCTGAAAAAGGCCCAGCCCAACCAGAATAACTCCCCCTCGCCTGGTCCCACACCTGGTGGGTACGAGTCTGGAAAACCAAGAAACGGTGAGCCCACCCCCCTCTTTGTCACACGATTCAACTGTCAAGCCTTAGGGATCAAAAGCCGCCCTTCGCCATTCAGAGACAGGATCTTCTGCACGGATCTTCTGCACAGTGCTCGACCTATCTTTTTCGAGATGTAGTGGCACAAGCAGAAAACAATGGCAAAAACATCTCAAAAAATTTCTCTGTTTTCGACAATGAACATCAGAGCAAAAAGTGGAATTGGATCAATTTAGTTTCCACTCCTCTGTTTTCGAATGAACACAAGAAACAAAGAAACGAGGCTGGATTTGGACTACTTCTTCTTTCGAACAAACCAGAAACCAAGAAACGAAGAGAGGCAGATCCCTTTTTCTGATTTCGAAACAAACAAGAAAAAGGTGGAAAGGTTCATTATTTCGATTTCTGAAAACATAAGAACAAATATGAAAAACTTTGAAACAAGACTTGATCAGTAAAATATGTTGAATATACTCCGGTGTTTCGCTCGCTACGAGCAATCTGGATTGGTAGGGATGTCGATGGGCTTTCAAACTAGTGCACACAGTTTGCTTGCATCAAGCTTGCAGGTACTCTGGCTGCCCGGTACAGAGCATACCTTCTCGGCCCTTTGGCTATGATCAAGTGTAGTATCCGTTCTTATCAGTGTGACAACTGATATGTCTCCAAACTGGAGACTTGCTTGTCACATCATCAGTTTTTGCTGGGGAAGTGTCTTCATGAGCTTGCTCAGAGGCCTTCACGTGTTGCGCTGGCATGGCACCAAGGCAGTGGCAGAACACCCTACTGGGGTCACTATGCATGTTCAGAGTCATGACCTCGTCCACCCACTGCTGCCCCAAATCGAAGCTTTCCACCGAGTAAAATGCCAAAGTGCACGAAGTGCTTTACTTCACAGCTATTCTCTTGAAACTTGAGTTTCATGGCTTTGGATGCCTTATGGTCTTGGAGCTTGGGTGAAGTAGTCGAGTTGGCATCGCCAAAAGATCCCCCGGCCGCGCTTGGCATGGAGAACATCCGGGATATAGTTTCGGGCACTCTGCGACCATTCGGTCATTCGATCTCTCGGCTTGACCCGCGCAGAGCCACACCAACATCCGACCCCTCATGCCCGTCGAAAGCCAAGGCGTTACAAAGTTTACAAGGTCTTCGAAAAATGCGTATCGCAAGCACACCGCGCACGAGAGAATGCACCAGATTGCACAAGGCAGATGGGGCCGGGCTGGGACCTTAGGCGCGGGGCTTGCGCGTGGCGATGATGTTGGTCGTCAGGATCGTATCTGAGTCCACCTCAGTCGAAATATGGAGATGTTCGCGTCTTGAGCACTTCCAGAGAAGCCATTGTGGTAGAACAATGTGCAATGTGCTGCAAGTGCATCGAAACTGTCATCAACTGTCTTGAAGCTTACTGCCGTACATCCGAAGAGGCTGCGCCCACTGCTTTTGTGCAAGGCCACCATGCGACGGAGTTCCCAGCCCTGCACCGGCGCTTTGGCTACGTCCTGTGCTCGCTGTTTCGCTGACTCGAGATGTTATAAGGTTTGTGAGGGATTATGAGGGTTGAGAGGTGGGATATGGGGGGACTCTGGGGAAAGAACTTGCCCTGGTCTGGGATCTTGCAAGCCCAACCCGAAAGTCTGAGGTCGGAATGGAGACAACCGGAATTAGATGCCAAGCTCGAGCGAAGTCCTTGTCGATCCACGGCAGGATCACCACTGCCTGGACTATCTCGTCTCTCTCCGCTTCCCTCCGCTTCCCTCCGCTTCTCTCCGTTTCGTTTAAAGGATGGGGCGATGTTTCAGCCGAGCGGCCTTCGCACGCTCCTCAGAGTCTTTTGCAGAACATCTCACACGAACAAGAAGGCAAAGTGCCCATATCTCGGTACTTCGACAAAACATCTCAACACCACGATGGCACCGAACAACAACCCGAGTGCACACATAGACACCCTCATTTGCCCGTCCGATGTTGTGCTATGGAGTACGCTGGAGGCGAGAGAAGACGAGAGCGAATACGAGAGAGAAGACGAGAGAGAAGAAGAAAAGACGAGAGAGAAGACGAGAGAGAAGACGAGAGAGAAGACGAGAGAGAAGACGAGAGAGAAGACGAGAGAGAAGACGAGAGAGAAGACGAGAGAGAAGACGAGAGAGAAGACGAGAGAGAAGACGAGAGAGAAGACGAGAGAGAAGACGAGAGAGAAGACGAGAGAGAAGACGAGAGAGAAGACGAGAGAGAAGACGAGAGAAGATTGGGCTTTGAAAGATGGGAAAGGTTTGAGGTGTCGGCCGCGCGGCCAAGTAGGCGCCGCGCAAATCCTTCTGGTTGGGCACCAGCTCCTTAACGAAGTACACCTGCAACACCACAGCCAACGCTCGGGTCGAGGGATGAGGGTTCCATGTCGCCCAGCCTGCCCTCCAGACGGAAACCTGACTCAACCCAATTTTTGCCTGTTTTCCGTGCCAAGGTGCCGAGTCCAGCGAGATGTGCTGCCAAATCTTGGGGTGGCGCTCCTCACAAGGAAGCATAGGGAGACTGACGACCCCAGAGAGAAAGGCAACGTGCGACTAGAGCTTGGCTTGGACAGCACCGGCTATGCCAATGAGGTGGTGGAATGGCCATGACTTCTTGTCCACTCATAATTACACACGCTTGGGTTTCCAACCGAGACGTGTGGTCGACAATGCCCACCTTGAGTGAACACTCAGACGCAAAAGGAAACATACGGGTACAACGCAGAGACAAAAAACAGAGACAGAGCACCGAATCAAAACTTCGTTTTAGGCCCCCCGCTCCCCCCCCTCCCAGCAAGTGGCCTCGTGGGACGCCATGCTGAGCACGACGATCTGCGGTCAGCTTTGCTCAAGAGAACCCGAAACCGCTGTACATCGCCACAGCCCCAATCAACCCCTGGTCATGAAACACCTGACAGTTCCCAAAAAACTAAAACCCTTGCCTAAACTTTGACCTACCTGCGATTTTATACCCGCCTAGCACAAGATCCCAAAGCCTCACCTGCACCTGCCTCCGTGCCAGGATCCCGAAGGAGCAACATCTGTACGGTCGCCGCGATGGTCATCTCATCACCCCCATAAATCACGATGTGCTCCTGAGGAAACACGAGGCAATCGCCCCGGAAATCCCCCGCTGTATTCTTGACAAAAGCCGATATCCTTGTTTCGGGTGCATTCCGAAAAAAGTAGTGGCAACCCCACATGCCCAGCCAAAGCAGGGTTTTTGACATGTGCTCCCGGATCTCGTTGAGGTAGTCTGTGGTCATGCCCATGCTCAGCAGGGACTGGGTCAGCGTCCTGAGCCAGTGGCTCGTAGCCCCCGCCCCCCCCCCCCCCCCCCCCCCTGCGCCGTGGTGTGGGTTGGCTTGGTGCAACAAGACACCAATTAGGCCGAAAGCCTTGGATGAGCTCCCTACCATGCGGTACACCATGGGACGCGGGAGTCACGGGCACGGGGATTTCACGCACACAAGAGCTCGAACACACGAACCCATGACAACACTGCTTGTAGGACCAGCGGCTTCGTCACCTGCCCCTGTGATTGGTCTTCCACAAGCCTCAGGCTTCAAGCGAGCTGAGACGTAGCCCAGGCGCGGTAAGAAGCAGCTCGTGTGAAGCTCGTCCTAAACTGCGTAGAGGGATCTCGAGCACTTTAGAGTCCCAAGAACGACTGTCGAAGCTCACCGCGTAGACCCAGCGAAGCCAGGTCCTGCGGGCCCAAACAGAATGCCCCGAAAGGCCCAATTTGAACAGACAAAAAGGTGCCCAACAGCCAGTCTTTGGCGTCACGAATCAGCAGAGCAAGCAGACTAAAAACAGTGACTGAGTGTGAGGTAAGAAGAGGAATTGGTCAGGAGGTGGTCGCATGTGGTGACTTGCAAGCGCGATCCCAACACTCTTTACTCCACAACCTGCCGACAAACTCAACTTCCCTGCTTTTCCCAGCAAGTTCACAAACTTTGCCTGCTCCAGCGTGAGGAGGTCGCCACCTTCCCGACATCCGCCATGCACAACTCTGTACAACACCAACACTACACCAACAGAAGGGAAGAGATGAAAGAGTGTAGGGTCAACTTGTGCACCCGGTGCAACAGCCCACACCAGCCCCCTCGATACTTGCTAAATAGATTTTAATGGAACGGGGCGCCGTAGTCCAGCAGCAGCGACGCCAGCCGTTGCAAACGCACCGCCGGTACAGTTCCTGCTTTGCCGGTCCTGACAAAAGTTCAAAAGAGCATACTGCACAAATCGCACATGACTTGCAAGTAGCTTCGAGCAAGCCCATGCCTACGCCAGAATCTGCTCTGCAGCCGGGCCGCTTCAGGTGGCCCACAGCCGGGAGCGGGGCGAAGGAGCGCTCCGACGTCCAAGACTCCACGCGGCCAAAGTTGATGCTCCCTGATCCTCGGAGATCAGAGAATGAAACATGCGTGAAACATGCCTGAACAGACCTGAACAGACCTGAACAGACATGAACAGACATGAACAGACATGAACAGACATGAACAGACATGAACAGACATCAGCATTCTGGGATCCTAGGATTTGTGAAAACGTCACGAAATGCCTGCTCAAAACGCATGCCTGCCTCTCATGGTCGGGTTGTACATACATTTGTCGCTTCTCTCTCGCTTCGTTTGCGTTGGGTGGCTGACGCGGTCCCAGGCATCCGTCCGCGCTGATGACATCTCCTCGCTCCTTAGCTGCCAAGTTGGGGCAAGTTGGGCCAAGTTGGGCCAGGGTCAAGCTCTCGACTTGATCTGCGCCTTTCTCAACATCCTTAACAGCTTTTCCAATTGCTGTGCCGGGGCACTGGATCCGCTCCAGCTCTCGGAAGTTGAAGCCCTTGGACAGCTTTATCGGGCTTTCTTCGCCCAAGCCTGGCCAAGCCGAAGGTGTGATTCTGTGCGATACATTAACTGCATTCGCTGTCTAGTCTTGACTGACAAACTCTGATCCCACGGTATCACAACATCGGAACTAGCTCGGACGTTCAAAAAACACTAGGGTCTGTGATGTCTGTGAAGGGCTTGGAATGTGGGCAGCCAGGAAAGGGTTTGATTTTTGTCCCAGCGGCCGAAGCTCCCCACTCCAACTTGCTCGTCCTTGGGATCGTACAATTCCCCTGGCCACCTTCGGGTCACATGCAGCTACAACTCTGGGAATCAATAGGGGGGCAGTGGCAGAAAATGGCGCGCATGCCATTTGCACCGATGCGATCTGCAAGACACTAAAGCTGGCCAGCGCCTCCATATCCCTCCCTATCAGACCTATCACGCCCGGGTCACCCCCCCCCCCCCAAACAAAATATGTGCGCAGCATGTAGGGTTAGCTTTGGAGACACTGAAGTGGCGTTGGTAACAGCGCCGCCTCGCAAACAAGATTTGCCATTCACAGGAAATGTGCACTGTAGATAACGTTTGAGGACCATACAGTTTGCAATTCTTGTCAGGATTGTGGCATAGTCTGAAGAAGTCACGCTTCATGTAGTACTGCTTCCTTGCAATAGTAGGCATCACGAAGAAAGCATTCTGTTGAGGAAACCACTCTTTCGAATCAGTTCTACTCCTGGCAAACACCGCACCCATGATTTCTTCTTTCTTCACGTGCCCGCGCCTTGGCTTTTTGCGTGCCATTACAACCCACGAAAAATAGAACGCGCACGGCTGCCTCAATCAACTCCAGTGCTGCCCCCTAACTTGCACGCAACGATGATGGTCAAACATTGCCAAACCATTCGGTCCACCTCAGCCTCCACCAGTAGCTCCGCAGACGGGTCGACAGCCCACGCGTCCTTATCTTAGGCTTAGGGTTCAAGGAGATCGTTCTTGGAAAATGTCGGGGAAGGTCGGAGACATGGGAAGTCTCCGGATTCGCCTGGGCACCCGGCACATTCCAGTCGGAATGCGCCTTCAAACGGGAGAAGAAGTCCGGGTTGCTGTCTTCCTGCAAAACACGGCGAAGCATCGGGCAACATGGGGAAACATGCACGGTGATCTCCACCTTTGTGTGTGTGTGCTCCACAGCGCTCCACGCGGCAAAGCCTTGCCAAATCCTTACGTAAGCCCCAAGTCACTCAGAAAGCCTTGCCAAAGCTTTGCCAGTCTCTGCGTGCTGGCCACTTGACCAAAGCAAATGAGTACTTCAGCACAAAAAGCTTTTGGGCTTGTAAGTTTTGACTCAGAATGCTGACGCTCGCTTGATCACTTCATCTCACACATCACCTGGAATCCTCCTATTCTTCCCTCATCTCCCCTCTGCAGTCTTTTGCAATCCCCCAGCCTCCCAGGTGTGTTGGTCGCCCTCGCCTTTTCGCACGAGCGTCGTGCCCTGGGCCATCTCGCGTGAGTCCTTTCTTTGGCTGGCATCGGGCAACCCTGGCTCAGGGGGCCTAGTCCCTGTAACAACAACCTCAAAAGATTGACCTAAACTTGGCCTTCGATTTGCTTTGCGAGGCTTCAGACAAGGCTTCGAACCTTTTGAACCCTTCGAGCTGCTCAGCTCTCCTCCTCCTTGCAGGTGCGCGCCCCGGAGGATCGCAGCACCGGCCGCCGGGAGGCCCGGCCACCTGGGCTCAAGGAATGGCGAGATTTTCCTTTGTGGCGATGTTAATGACGGAAATTCGCCCCACCTTCTGCTCTTACGTCTTTCGTGTGGATGCTCTGCCGACAGCTCCAGAAGTCTGCACATCTAGGCTTGCAATGTCTTTTGCGCTCTTGTCTCCTCACATGCCCCTCGGGGGGGGGGGGGGGGGGGGGGGGGCGTGGTGAAGAGAAGCATCCAGAATCTTAAGACGTGGGGCAACATGCAGTTGGATTGAGCAAACATGCACCAGCCCCTCTCCCCGTCGTCGGTAACACACAGGTTACATCCCAACTTGGTAGCGGAGGAGTCAACTCCGAAGGTCGGCAGCAAGGCACTCCAAACGCCTCTTGAGCCGCCATCTAAGCCGATGGGTCGGCTGGGCTCTCAGAGAAGTACGACTTTTCTGGCGATGCTGGGATGGTAATGGGTTCCACTAAAATGGCTGGTAGTGGTACTACTGCAACAATGGTGATGCTCACAAAAACTTCAAAACCCAAACTAAACGAAACAACAAATTTCCTAGGCCCATGGCGTTTGATGGCCACCACGGCTTCGGGGAGGCTGCTGGCGATGACGTAGACGCGATCGCCATCCTGGACTTCCCGTCAGCTGCCACAGAGAAGCATGAAAAGTTGATGAGCTTGCGGCAGGAGCCACAGCCGAATCATCTAAGGTTTGAGAAACTTCTGTTTCAGAGCAGACGTCCATGAACCTTCTAGTCAAAGAAAGACCAGGCGAGACCTGGTGCTGAGCACACCCAGCCCCAGAGCCCTATTACGTCCCAAAGTTTGACTTGAAGGCGAGTGGAACAAGTTGTGCTCTGAAGCCATTAATTTCCGAAGTCGTCCCAAAGCAGGAATTGGAGGGTGGACAGGGTGGTGGATGTGGTGGGGCAGGGGGGGGCGAAGACTTGCCAAAGCGAAATCGAAGCCGAGAAGGGCAGTGCTGAGCGACTTGCGCAATGGTCGGTCATTGTTACCAAAGCCAGGGTGGCCAGTGCATCTGTGAAATATTAAGTTAGTCCTGGCACGCCATCCGGCCCGCCATCCGGCCCGCCATCCGGCCAGCCATCCGGCCCGCCACCACAAATACTCACTCCCACGGCGTGTGGCTCTTACTCTCCGGCCTGCAATCTGGTGTCGTGGCCGCCAGGGAACAGGAGCAGCCGACGCTTCCTTGCAAGGCGAAACACGCACCCCTCCATCGAGCGAAAGTGACCGGGACGACATGACAAGTCTGACAAGATGTCACATGTATGTTTACGACAAGTGGGATCGGGCCCTCCACTTCCGCGCCTCTGCTTGGAAACGGAGCTAGTCGGCGTCTCACCGGTCTCACCGTCAGCGGTGCCATAGCGTTTGACTGCGATGAGCAGCATGTTGTGGTTCCTTTGTGGCCCAGGGGCATGCTCCCGACCCCATGATCCACTCCTACCAGTCCACATCTTTCGAGGCGGTGATGAAATCTGTCGAACCGGGGAGGTTTGCCACTGTGGGATTCTCACACAAGCACCGAGGGGCTCGTAGAGGTGGTAGGCGGCTTCCACGAGATTGAGCCCGTGGATGCCACTCTTCCTCAGTCCACAAACCCGATAGATAGCAGAAAAGCACATTCGGAAAGTGCTCGATCATTCGGACAACATACAATCACATCTGTCCACCCACCCTTTGTTCCCGTATCTCCAAGGCACGCTGTGACACTGCAGTGGTAGATCTCCTGCAGGTCAGCAGTCTTCCAATGAAATTCGTGGACAGCGACTCGTACCAACACAGAAGGAGACACTGACATGGGGATACGCAGCAGTGGCGGCAACGTGAATACTGCAGGAACATGACGACACTTTGGGCTTCCTGACACTTTCTGCCATCCCATGTTAGCACAACTCACCATATCGACTCTTCCATACCGAATCGGTCTGCCCCTTGCTGGATTTTACTCGCGGCTCGTCCTAGCGTGGGATGCCGCAAACGTTCAAAAATACTGCAGAGAGGGGCTCAAGGCTTAATGTGGGAGACTCGTGTGCCACTTGCGTGCCACTTGCGTGCCACTTGCGTGCGACTTCCGTGCCACTTGCGTGCCACTTGTGTGCCTCGCCTGGCGAGAGCCTTTGTGGTAAAGGTCGAACCAGTGCCTGGGATCTTCGTAGCTTCAGGCGCGTCACAAGTTTCAGTGTATCCGGTTCTCGGATGACCTATGGAGCACGGCAGACCGCCACAACGACTAAGGATTCAGGAGTTTCAGCACAGTGATCACAGATTGAAAATGATGAAATGGTGTCCTTAGGCAATCTAAACTTCCACAAACATCGCACGAATTCAGGCCACTCAGAAGAGAATGCCAAGTCCGAACTTACCCTCCCTTTCTTGCTTCGGCGCTCGGTGCTGGTGTCATAGGCGTGGCTCGTGGTGTGGCTCACCAAGTTCAGAACCTCAGATGCCCGCAAATCCCCAAAACGCGTAAGTGCCAGTTCCAGAGATTGCCGCAGTTCTGCAACAAGACCCTGACACTGACGTATTCTCAAGTGCAACAAGTTCTGTGGAGGCGCCATGGTGGAGAGCCCACGGTGGAGCGCCGACCCAGCGATCATCGCTGCAGTGAGCTCCCCGATGACCTTGGGCTATTTACTGAATGTAAGAATGCAAGAAAAGCGAGCAGACTGCAAGCAGGGCAAGATCGTGTAAGAAGTGCTCTGCATATCCCAAAAAGCCTTGGTACCACCAAAACCTTTGCAGAAACACTCTCTACTGCTGCCACGCGCACCAGACAGAGGTCGTGGAGCTTGTCCCAGCCAGGCCTGTGGAAATCTCGTTGCATCAAAAACACACTTTTGACAGAAGAAGTTAAGCGCCTTCTGGCTGCAAGGCTCAGTGAAGGCTCAATGATTTGTCCCAAGGCCAAGAGACATGTTCACGATGCGGTCCCGGGTGTCTGCAGATAGCACCTCCATAGAATTCCGTAGGATGTCAAAAAGGCAGAGCTGCATGATCTCAAGACGTCATCGTCACGCTCTTGCCATGTCCAGGGACTTCAAGGGGGAAGTTGGGAAGGTGTGTTGTGGAAGCCGTCAAGTCTAAATACAACATCTGGAAAAGTGGAGCCGCCTGAGCAAGAACTCGAAGGCGCCGCCGGCCTTCGAAGGCTTTCTGCCGGTGCAGCTGCCTAAGGCCGATATGACTGCAACCGTAATGCAACCCTTGGCTTTTTCCAACACAGAGAGAGAGAGAGAGAGAGAGAGAGAGAGAGAGAGAAAGCGCGAGGTGTGGGCACACACTGCACGCACACGCACCACCCTCAAATTCCGACAGCTCACAGGTGTGGAGAGCAAGGGCGATGGCAAAGAGGTGCGACCGCGGATGAAATAGAAAGAAAGAGCATCTCTGCATCTGATGCCATGCGGAGTGAGACATCGAGAAGCCTTTGCCGAAGCGGAAAAAACTCTGTCAACTGAGCAGCGCATTCTTGAAGGCCTTGCAGGCAAGCACCATCGAAGCCACCTGACGCAGTCGCATAAGATGGCGATCCCCAAACCTGTGGAACCGATCCCAAAAGGACCCGACGAATCTTGTTCTGGTCGGCTCAAGGAATTTACGACCAGAGCACCAACCAACACCGTACCATCCACTAGCCCTTCACATTGGCACCCCTCCTGACGCCCTGTTGCGTGCCTGTGTGTCTTCCCACTGTGGATCTTGAGGATACTTGCCTGAAGCTTCGGGTCAGAGGCCTAGCCTAGCCTGTAATCACCATGGCTGCAAACCTCCATCTCTAAACGGGTCTGGAGAATGGTGCATCCGATTGCAATCACCCTGATCCCCGTCCTGCGAACGCCTCACTTCGCAGCCTCAACCTCCAAAATCCTCCAATAGCCTGCCGACTCATGCACCCTCTTGGCCGAGTAGCAAGCCAAAACCAGCACTGCCATTGCTTCATGGACCTGCAAGGCCCACTTACCTCCGTAAAACCGAGGGTCCAAGGGTTCTCAGCCCAAAAAAGAGGAAGCAATGGAAGCGAACCGCAGCTGCGTTCTCCCGGCCTTGGCCCTGTGCAGATCCTTCTCCACTTGAGAGGAGCCCTTGGATGCACCGAAGAAAACTTCGGAGCTATAAACCCCACCGATAAACTCTGTAAACTCCTACTCGCTTCAATAAAAACCTACTTCTCTGTTTGAGCCCACACCCACTCTTTCTGGGACTCTCTCTGGCCCAGGCGCCTGGATGTACTGCACATGCCCGGTGTAAGCGGGGTGGCCCAGAAGGTCAAGGATCCTTGGGGGCACGGCACAGCAGGATCAGCGAGCACTTCAAAGGTCCGGGAGCTCTCCCGTCGTGCTTCTCAAGGTGCAGCTGCGGCTCTGGTGATCTGCTTCCATGGGCGACCTTTCAGTGCCACTCTTAGTTTTTTACAGCTTCTTGCCCAGATGTGCGCCCTGCAGCACTGAATCGCGCTGCCACACATGCACGTATACTCGCTGCGCGGACAGTCCTATGCCTTACTGGGCAGCTTTCTGGTCCAGGGCTGCAGGGTTCAGCCCCAAGCAAGGGCCCGAGGAAGCAAAGTGGCGTTCAGAATGAGACTCTGAGGCGTTGCAGAATACTTGATGTCATCTTGCCATGCTTGAGGAGGAGTGCTTGTCAGCGAACAGCAGGAAGGCGTCAACATTACTCACGATGTTTTCGAGTGCCCAGTGTCAAGAAGTATCGGCCAGAGAACTCCAAAGAAGGGCGACCACGACTCAAACGTGCACTGGGCAGCCAGCGAAGCAAGCCAATTCAGCAAAAAAAACTAGGAAGCGGCGGACGGCTAAAGAGCTCGGCACTGCGATGGGGTCGTATGACATCAAAGCAAGCCAAGGTGTTTATGCTACCAAACCAACCCACGGCCATGGGGAACGTAGTTCTTAAAATGTATTTTGAAAAACTCGGTGCCCCCATCCTCTCGTACAGGAAAAGGAACCGTGGAAACAGATGGAACCATCACTTTCGGATTCAAGAGTTTGCATGGCATGAAAGGCTCACGCTCTGGTTGTGGGCGTGGAGGCCCTTACCTTCTGTGGAATGAACATGTGTTCATTCTGTGGGAAGCCGCCGAGTAGCAGGATCACGATGTCGCAGGGCCGCGCTGGCCCGCGGTCAGGGTGGTAGGCCTCTCATGGCGACAAGGAGACGATTCAAAGACAAGTCAAGAAAAAAACACGACCCCCCCCCCCAGCCCCACAACACACAAACCTAAACTTTGAACCCCAAACCTCCAACCCTCGACCTTACAATAACCCCTGCGAAACCAAAACTCTTGAGACCCTGCCGCGCCATGAACCGGCTCAACCCTCAGAACCCCACAGAACCCTCAAAAGGCCTCAGCCCCCAGGGCGCTTTCAGAATCCTTCAGAACCACCCGACTCCCGATCTTTCTTTGAATTGTCGCTGCGTAGATTCAAGGCTGGCATTGGCGAGATATGCCGACTCCAGAGCCCCTACGTGTACAGACATGACAAGGGGCTGAAAAGTGTTCCAAAAAAAGAGAAGAGGATGTCAAAAAAAGACAGAAGAATACACCGAAGAGAGTTGACATGAGTTCATCTTCCACCTTGCCTCGTACAGGAGCAAGTTGAGCACGGGGAACTCCACGTGGCCCATGATGACCTTTTGGGCATGATCGTTGCCAGCGGCAGAAGAGCTCGATTTGCCAGGAACTACGAAGGAAACAGAAACACCATGCAGCACCGGAGAAACTACTGCTCCAGCTGAGGTTTCTGCGATGTGTGCGTCGCTCATTCGCTTGTACTTCGTCCTCTGAGGGCCAAGGAGGGAAGAGCTTTGCACCGGTCTTGATTTGCTCTTGGCTGGTGTTACCGAGTTGAACGGACTCATGCTCCCCAGGCCTAAACAGAGCCATCATGGAGTCGTGCACTCGCTACAGAATGTACAGAATGTACAGAATGTAACCAGCCTCCGAGCCCACGGATCTCGCTGCAGAGCCTGCTACAAGCTGCTGCCGAGAACTGGCAAATGGAGTGCCTTGCCTTGTAGTCAAATCTCAACTCCGGGAACGCTGGCAACAAGCTGCATAGCAACGAGAGCTACAATACATGCCACTTCTACAGCTGTCACAAAATTAGTCCCAACTCCCCACCAGCATTCCAAAGATACGATGGCTTGGCCTTCAAGATCGATGCCGCCTGCCAGGGGATGATGATGAAAGCCACGGTCCTTTGCTTTGCTCTGCGAGGATGACCCAGAGCCCGTTGATGGCCATCGTTTGGGGTCAACTAACTCCATGACAGAAGAAAGGACAACGCGGAAAGGAGAGTCAAACAGGGAGTCAAAACCTCTCAGGAGGTGCAGCGCGAGTAACACGACCAAGATCAGCAGCAGGTGCCCTCCAGGACTTTCTGGCTCGATACCTGAAGACGGTTGGACTCCGGCAGCTTGGAGCTTCTTACACCTTCTGAATGAAAAGTGCGCTTGCAGGGCAACAAAAACTGAGCGCTGCATGTTGAGATGCAGGACATGGGTGACATATGACTCCTTCAGCTGCTGCACACTTCCACACTTCCACACCGAGGGTCGAGGCCGCCCCAGGATTTCAATGGTCGTGAAGTAAAAGGCTTCCTCAAAAAGGGAGTGCAAAGGAACCAGACGGTTGCGCACGGTACACTGTGCACTGTAAACTCTGGACTGATGGCCGGGCTGCGTGGAATGGGACACTGGATGCCTCTTCCGGCAGCACCTTCATGTCGTTTTCGATCAGCCTCCGAGACTCTGCAATTTTCATCGTTGTCGCTGTCTTTGTTTTAAGCTTGGAAGACATTTCCACAGGAGTCTGTTCAGCCCACACATTGCTGTCGCCCAGGCGGGGCTTCAGCTGCTTCAGCATTTCTTCAGCTTCAGAGTGGTCAAGGAGCTGGTAGAAGCCAGCAGCCGTGAAGATCAAGCAGAAAAGGCCGAAGGCCAGCCTGGGCAAAGGCAGCTTGGCCAATGAGCGGCTTCTGATCAACGCAAAAGACACCAAGTCAGCACCAGGAACTCTGGCAACACAGCGAATCAGAAAGCCCAAGCCCTGCGGCCGAGCTTCATCGCGACCTCGCGACTCACGTCCTCCAAACCATTTTTCATGATGGTAGAAAGATACACGATGACGCATGCATGTGACCCCCCAAACTCTCTCACACACACACAGAGACACACTCAGAGACACAGAGACAGCACCGTGGATGTGAGGGGGTACACAGTGGAGTGCAGGGCGCAAGTGCGGTGATGTAAGCGGTGTGGATGCAGCATGTGCAAGATAGCAAGCAATGAGCGAGGCTCGATTTCGCACTGTCGAGTGCAAGCTGCAGGCTGCAAGCGGCGCAAGCTGTGAGCGTGGCACTGTGGTGGGGGGGTCTGGCAAGCAGTAGGTGAGCTCCGCAGTAAACGTGGGCGCGTGGGCGCGTGGGTGCGTGGGACCATGTCACCACGGGTTCACCAGCAGACTGCAATATGCGGCTCATGCACCACAATGACACGCTCGCGGCTCGCGCCGCCGCTTTTGTTGACTTGCAGCGCGCAGCTTGTACTCCACAGTGCCGCGCTCACGGTTTGCACCACAACGGTGCTCATTTGCAGCCTGCCGCCCTTCCTCCCCTGATGCACCACCACACTGCTCACGTGTAGCCTTCAGCTTGCGCTCCGAGCCACCGCGTACACTGCCACACTGTTCACTTGCAACATGCAGCGCCCACGGGCCCACGCGCCCACGCACCCACGCACTTACGCACCCACGCACCCACGTACCATGAATGGCAGCGCAGCGACTGGACACTCCAGAAGAGCCATGCCCCTGACTTCAACCATAGGATGGACCACGTCTAGCCCCCAAACAGAACCCCAAACGACCAGGCCCAAGCCCAAGATTTGAAATCACAACGTGCAGTCCTCCGGTCGATTGCGGAGGAAGCGGAAGGATCGCAAAATCCGGAAGAGCCTGGGGGTGGAAAAGGCAGACAAGGAGGCTCCAACTTAAGAAGAAGGAAGAAGAAGGCTCTCGCACTTGGAGTTTCGGTAGCCTCTATCCGATGCCGAACACAACCGGGCTGAAAAGCCGGCGTTGGTTTCCCAAACAGGTGCTCGGTGTTGGACTCCGGTTCACAACAAATCACGCACCGCACGGACCACAATGACCGCACATGACCACGCATGACCACACATGACCACACTACTAGCTGCTTGCCGCTCAGCCTGTCGAGAAACGTAGATGTCTCACATGGCTTTAAGGCTCACATGGATCACACAAGCTGAACATCTCGAAAAAAACCAAGAAAATGGACGAAAATAGACGAGACCAACCAGACCACTGCCTCTCAGAGAGCTGGGTTCTTTGGCGGCTCGGGTCGTTGTGGGCCTCGCCAAGAACCGAGTCCAAGGCACTTGGTGATTCGCACGACGCGAAGAACAACCGACGTGTCATGGTCGATGCCGAACCTGAAAGCGTGTCAAGTTTGTGTCAAGTTGTGTTAGAGTGTGTCGGGTTCCCCCGACATCTTCGGGCTTAGGACATCTTCGTCTCCTTGCGCCTTAAGGCAACACAAAAACATACAAAAACCAATATGCCTCCTTTCTCACGGCTACGACACTACCTTGAAGCCCTTGGCTTCTGGGTTCCCCCGCACTTGGTTGAAGACCAAGAAGGGCGCCAAGGTCACCACATCCACGAAGGCCATCAGGGAATACAGGAACTCAAGCTTGTTCCTGCTGATGAAGAACTGGAAGATATAGTCCACCCCAAAGAAGGCCTTGGGGCAGTTTAGAGCCGATTTTTGTGGGTTTGAGAGATTTTTGGGCCTCTTGAGCTTCCTTTCTGCTTCACACCCGGGTCGCATTGACGATTCGCTCCAACATCGAAAACCAGTTGCCGCTGATGCCATAGGTCTCCTGGGCATGTGACACCGAGGACGACTGAGAGACCTCGTCACTCGTCATTATTGCCATTTCACCTGTTGCTTTTTTCTCCTATGAAACGACTCCACAATGCATTGCAGAAACACGAAACCAGTTCCCAGCAATCGAAGCTCCAATGCTTCGGTGAATACAAAAACCTGTCTTCGTCTTGAACTGACACTCGTTTCTCTTGCAAAGAAGACGCAAGCCAAGCAGGGAGGATAATTGTGAACCAACACAGAGAGACAATGAGAGAGAGACAAGCAGAACCCGGACATGCGCCCGCGCTCCGCTTCTCGCCCATGGGCCTACCCTTGGTCACCCTTGCCCCCATTCTCTCCATCTCTCGTTTCCTTTGCTTCCGTTCCGCGGATAAAGGGTCAAGGGTCAGGTGGGACCTAAGGTGTGTTACTGCCGCCATGCTGGAACCTGCCCCGGAGTGAGGCGAATGCACCCAATCTGCCTCAGTCCTTTCCTTACACCGAAACAGAACATCGCTGGGTGGAACCCAGCCAACGCCAACCACTTTGTTCAACTGCGTCGAAATAGTTGCAATGTACACCCCCACCCCCCAACCAGAGGTCACCACATAAACCCTAAGCCTAAAACGCCCGACAGGAGCACAACCTCTCCAACTGTCAGCTCGAATCGAACCAGACTGGCATAACCATACGCACACACGGCCTGTCACCACGAAGCTACTCCAGCTCTGAAATGAAATATCTGAAATACGAAGTGCAGCTAGGGGGCCACGACCTTGGCGATGGGAGAGGAGTGAAAGGCACCAATGCTTCAAGCTTCGAGGCTTGGTCTACGTTTGTTTTTTCAGCTTTGCGCTTTTGCACGACATTCTGGCGCACGGTTGGCAGCGTCTGTGCAAGGGAGAGCGGGAGAGAGCGGGAGAGAGCGGGGACAACACGCATCTAAGGCGCGTAGAGGCTGCATAGCACCAACGAAAGCACAGTTTGCACGATATCGATGCGCTCCAACACCTGCAGTCCTCAGAGACAAAGAGACAAGGAGAGCTCGACGAAGCAGAGCTGAAGCAACTTGAGAATCTTGAGATGCTGCATCTGCAGCCAAGCAACTATTTAGGAAAATCAGCAGTCTCTGGCGGGGAGTGATGACCAGCGGCGTCCGCTTTGTGAGCCTGAAGCAGGGCAACTGCTGACCACTCGGGGGATCCTCAGGGGATCCTCAGGGGATCCTCAGCAACCCCTAAGATCTGCGACACTTCGCAAGAGCAATGTGGCCCCAACATCTGCACTGTACTTCTGGCCTGATCCGACGCATGCACAGGATGCAGCCAGTCATCAGGGCCTTCAATTCAGCTCTCGCAATCATAAGGGGGCACTCTTAGAATCGCCTCATCCCATGTACCTGAACCTGCAGAACTCTTCAGAACGCAGGCGTTGCAAGTCCAGAGCCGTGTTTGAGGATCTGCAACACAGCCTTTCTCGGAGGTTACACCTTGACATATGCTGCGCTAGGAAAACTTCACTGTGTTGCAAACAAGTGTGGCACATCTCCGACCTGGAAACGTACGCCGAAACCACCCTCGAAACCACCCTCGCAACCATCCCCTCTCAGTCCATTGTTTTGGCGGAGTCCTCGCCCCCCCAACCCAGTCGGGAGGCATAGTACGCCAAGACGACGGCCACCAGAATCAACAAAGGAGCATACTCTGCAAGGAGCCCGTACCTGAGCTTCAACCACTAAAACATTATTCGCTTGAGTCCGAAAACGACGTGTTACTTGAATGCCACTTCAACGAACATGATAACCCATAACGCACAAGCGCAAGCAACAAGTCAGAGCAATGGTTCACAAAGAAAGTGCTCCAAAGAGTGATCGTTTGCCTTGCGCCAAGGCCAAGAGGCTCGGGTCCAAGCAGCATCCTTGCTTCACTTTGCGCAGCACAACGGACACAATCTCAAGCCTGGGAAAAGCCTGAACATTGACAACTCCCAAAACAAAACCGCAAAAGATGCTGGACGTCTGAACTACTGACCCGAAAGTGAAAGAGCAACAGAGGCAGGCTGCAAGCCCGGACTGTCAACCTTCTGCAACTTCCCCCCAACTTCCCCCCAACTTCCCCCCAGCTTCCCGAGCTTTGCCGAGCCAAAGCTCCTCCCGAGCAGCCTGAGGGCAACCGTTCGGTTTCGGAGGCTTCGGAGGCTCTTCGGCGCTAGGAAGCTACGGCTGGGAAGCTCAGCTCTTCAGCAGACCAGCTACTCACCTGCTCTGGCTCCGAGACATCCATTCGCCCGCAGGGTGTTGCAATACGTAGGTTGCTAGAAACACTTCGTGCTTCGGAAGCCCCGCAGCTCTGCCTCCACCTCTGACCTTGATCCAGTCCTGCACAGGGCATGCTGATCCAAAAGCGGAAAGAAATGGAAAGAACAGCTGGCCGGAAAGAAGCTGGACTCTCTGAATGATCTGTCCTTGAGGCTGCCGCAGCTACTGCAGCTGCTCCGTAAGGCCCCACCACACACCCCGGGCATCATCCGTGACCGGACTCTAAGGGGGCTAACTCAAAGAGCCTGTGAAGGATTTGGAACCTGTTTGCTCTGCGGTGTGCGCATCTACTGAAGCTGAAGGGCTTGCGTCTGAGTCCTGAGGTCTGATAAGGCACTGATAGGTCCTACCTCTGCACGCATGTCTCGCATTGATGTTTTTGGAAGCTGTCGATGGGATGACACCTCCTTCTGATATGCATTCCCTGAGCCAGCACATGCCACACAGAAAGCAGCCGCTCAACGGAAGCGTCAGTGATTGTGGCCAAATGTGGCCAATGATTGTGGCTAATGGTTGTGACCCGAAGACCGACGCAGCCTGATTACTTTCAGATGCAGCACACATGGGCACACCCTCCCTTTTTGTCACGACGGTGCTTCGCGGGCCCTCCTCCTGTCGTCCCCAAGAAGCACAAGCTCAATGTTCAACGAATGTTTAGACTCAATGCTCTCGGCATGCCGTGGTGAGCAGACTTCTCCAACCAAGTGAGCTTGCCCAAGTTGCCCGAACTTACCAAGCTGCCAAATTGCTGCGAGACCGGGGACTTGGCAGGGTCTTGGCACTAGTCATGCAGTTGAAGCGTCCGAGTTCGCATGTGTGGCCGTGTGGCCCTGCCGGACTGAGACCCGGTCATCCATCCAAGCGGTTCGACTTGCCCCACACCGTGTGAGAGGAGAACGATCTGAGATCCGAATCAAACCCAGTGCAGGCATCGTAGGCATCGCAGGCATCGTCCAGTTCGTGCGCTTCAGTGGAGTCTTCGGAGCCTCGGAGGATGCTGTGAGTCTGCTCTGCTCCAAAGGAGCAAGAAAACCTCTGAAATTCTGACCTGAATCCTGGCACTGCACCTCAGACTTTCCAGAGAGAGAAAGTGCCCCTGAGGTCCAAACCTTCACCTTCGGCATCTCGATGAAATCTCGATGCATCTCGAGGCATCTCCATGCGCTCACTGCAGCAGCAGGGAGTAGATGCGACCGCGGGGGAGCGGCCAGAGGCCTTATCAGTCTGCTGAAGTGTCAGCGTCACAAATAGCTGCCTGAGCATGCATCATACAGAGAAGCACAGGTGCCACGATCGAAGGGGTCCAAAATGTCGACCAGATGGATGCCCTCCTGCAGTGCACTGGCAAAGCAAGCGAGGTTGCTGCAGACTTCTCTCCCACATTCTTCAAACCAAGATGAGGCGGATTGAGGCTCTTTGCTACCTATTGCTACTTGCATAGCCATGTCTTCTGCAGCGCATGTTACATGTTGCTGGTATAAGAGCGACTAGTAAGCGTACATGTGCGCACCAGCCTGCTCTTTTTGGTGCCTACAGGAACCTCGACACCTCAACCGAGAAGGATCCGACGACGATGAACGCTCGAACCGGCCAGGGCTAGCAGAAAAGCAACATCCAACCTGACAAAAACAAAAGAAAAAAGGTAAAATTAACAAACAACAAAGAAAACAGACTCCAGTTTGCCCCTCCGTAGCCTCGGCAAAGCCCTGAAGAGCTTCTCCATCCGCGGGCGCAGCACGGGTTGCCTTGCGGTGACCCTGGTCCTGAGAGCTTCAGAGGAAGATTGCGGGCCACCGCAAAACCGGGTACATCCACCACTCGGCACTAAAGTCACCGAAGCCAACCCGGCGAAAAAGTCTCAGCCTCCTAGGCTCAGCCTTCTAGAATCTCAGAGCGCGAGGTGAAACTCCAGGACATGAAACACATAGAAACACATAGAAACCCATAGAAACTCACAGAAACTCATAGAAACTCATAGAAACTCATAGAAACTCATAGAAACTCGTAGAAACTCATAGAAACTCATAGAAACTCATAGAAGCATATACGAAGGCCAAGCGGCCTCCAGGAAGACGCGGCTCCCGGGCCGCCCCAAGCGCCGGAAGAGCCTCCGCTGCTGGGGATTCCTGAAACAACCCTGAAACAAGCACCACCTGGTTTTAGCGAGGCATAAGAATTCGCGCTGAAACGCGGCACGCGTCCTCGCTTTGTGCTTAATAGGAGGTTTTTGAAGGCATAACTTGGGGCATCAAATCTCTGCACTTGTCTGACTTTGGGGGAAAAGCTCCTTGCATGTTCGGAGATCAGATGCCCCGGACTGCGCCTCGAAGACTCGACGATGGCTTAAGGACAAGATGACGGCGTTACGCAGACCCAATGCCTTTTGATCCACAAGGCACACCCGGAGTCTGACAAACTTGACAGGCAGAATTTACACTGTGCGAATACAACGAAGAAATCCGCGAAGCTGCCACTTTCTACAGGGTGCAACGTTTGGGGCATACTCTTGGGCTCTTGGGGACAACTTCGGCACGCTCCACAACAGGCCTCGCGAATTCGCCGAGATGCTTCTTCAACTCGCCCTGTCAGCGTGTGTGCAGTTCGCCTCGGCTTCAAGCCGAGAGGCATCTAGAACATGTGGCCAACCGCCCAACCGCGACCCCCCCGCCATCCCCCAAACCGCGAGGCCGCCATCCGATGCCGCGGGTTTCCAAAACCTTTTCCAACCCGTCCAAGCATTTAACGATGTGCATGGTGCTGCACCAGGTGACATAGGACTTGGCTTTCCTTCGTCTGCGCACGCTACCCGTGTTGGGCTGCCGAGGCGGCGCGCTCAAGGGTTGACAATTACCTCTTCAACATTGCTCAAGCTACAGAAGCTACGGACCTAACCTCAACTACTTTCAACTCTTCAGGCACCTTTCAGGGTTGTTTGAAGTGAAGTGACTTTGGGGAGACGTAGGCTCTCACGTCAGTCCGCCTGGGGCGCCGAGGCCATGACCAGAATGTCGTAAGGGGGGAACACACCTCTCCAGCGGAAACTCCCAAGGTCCAATCTATGGGCTAGGACGTAGAACTTGGCAAAGCTTCACTCGGCAGAACAGTGTATGGAGACTCTCTTCGTATCTCGTCGTCCTAACAAAAAAAGACTGCATAGATAGTTCGCCACACGGTGGCCCATTCCACAGACTCCAGGGAACGACGAGAAGGCCATCCGAAAGCCCCAAACCGATTGCCACGATTTCCAGGATCATCACTGAATTGACTGAATCACCCTGGCCATCTTGAGTGAATTGGCCCACACTACGTGGATATTGTTCTATCAAACTGTTGGAGCAGGTAGCAAACGGACCGATAACAAAGCCCAGCTCAACGATGCTGAAAATGACGACCATTGGCCTCCCCTGACGATAAGTCCTTGTTGCTATTGGTTCACAATGTTGAAATACTACAGTACACGCTGCCGCTGCCCGGTCCAAGTTGTGTCGCAGACTTTCAAAACTCTGTTTCGGAAAGCGAGATCCCACAACTGGTTCTGCATGTACTTGGAATCCGCACCTGGATCCCACACAACACAAACACACCCCAAAACGAAACAACAAAGAGGACAAACTCGCATGTGCCAGCCTTGCTGTCTCCAGGTACGCGGATCGGTAGTGTAGTTGAAACGGAGGACGGTCAAGCTCCCGTACCTAAGCCGCTTCATTTCCGTGTTGGTCGATTGAGGCCTACCCGTACAGCTGGTGCAAGAGGGCAAAAAGCCGCTTTGAACTTACTGGCTCCGAAGCGCGCGGAAAAAAGGGGACAAAAAACGATTTCGCTAAAGAGGATCAGAGGAGCCCCATGGCTCGGCCACCCGTGTCCTGTGCCAGCAGCTGCGTGTTCCGGGCGGCCACCTTGCGGCGGTCTGCAAGAAGCCACTCTCTTCGCTCGAAAGTGTGCCCCCCCCCCCCCCAAAGGCAAGCCCGGCACTCTGAACTGGGCCTCTCAACTATTCTCAATTCCTAACCCGTTTCCGACCCTCTTAGCCTCAAGAGCCAGGTTGTCCACGTCCGTGCAGGTGACGTCCAGGCCCTTCCTCCGGGCACTTTTCTGCTTGTTCGACTTCAAGTAAGGTTGTCTGTGTGTTTTGATGTTCAATTGAAGTTGGATTGAAGTTGGGTTTCAGCTTTCGGCTTGAGGCATGAGCGCGGCTCATTTCCACACAGTCTTTGCATAATCGGGGCACAGCTCCCCACCCCAGAATTCGAGCAGCTTCGCGCAGCTTCGCTCCAAGCCTCTCTACCCTGTACATCCTAAACCGGCTTCGCTTAAGATTGTGCTCCGGACGTGTTGGGCCCCCCCAACACATCGTATTAACACCCTTGCATCCCTCTGTACTCCTCATCAGGACCAGGCACGTGAGGCCGACGCCTAGCGAAGAACACTGCGACGTTTTCAGGCTTCGGAACTTCGGTCTGGGCCCCAACATTTACGTGGTTCCGTGTCCCGTGTCGATACCCAGCTGGCCCTAAGCTGCCCTAGGCCCAAAGCCTAAGCCCTGCAACCCTAAACCCCGAACTCAAGTCTAAAACCCTTGACCCTGAGACTCAACCCCACCTAAACCGGCAGCACGTCATGGGCGGGGTGGGCGGGGTGGGCAGCTATGATGCTAAGGGACTCAACAGCACACATTCGAGGCCAGCTTTGCCAAGGCCAGCTTTGGCGCCAGCCGGTACAATCGCAGCGTCATCCAAACCCACCCCGGACAGTTCAATCATGTTCAAGAAGGTTCCATGCCTGCGCCCAGGTCCAGGGCCGAGCCTACGAGTAGCCCAAATCAACCGAGCAGAACAAGTCATGATTCACATGCGCTTTTTTGCACCTCCATTCGCGCACAGTCCAACAACAAGCCGAAGAAGAATTGAAAACAAAAAATCGAGCTCTGCACTTCCTGCTCCAACCTTCTCAAAGCAGGGCCCTCTTGCTTGGTATTTGGCACAGACCTCGAAGCCCAGGCTGTAGATCCAGGTACACAGCCTACGCAACGCTGTGGGCCATGTCGAAGCAAAACCAGAGTCTAGGAGTCTAGGCTGTTCGACGACGTTTTTGGAGATTCTCCAAGATCCCTTCGTGCTTTGACATGTCGTGCTGCCATGGTAACGCCTGGAACTTCTTGCGCTACAAATGGTCACTGAAACTCCGACCCCCTAATAACAACCTAAAGCATGTCGAGAGGCCAGGGCTGTAGACCACAGCAGCCTGGGTGATGGTTTGGGTCGGCTGCTCTTCTCGGTCATTTATGCTTGCTGACGAGTCCCTCAAAGGACTGCTGGCACGGTTCGTGAGCTGCGCATGCATGTGGCTATTTGGGTTGAGGGAGTTCACATGAGTTTAAAACTTGCAAGCTGTTGTGGGAAAGTTTCATGAATACACCCAGTATGGGAATTCAGGATCACGATGCGCATCTGCCACCAATGCACGTCGTCTCCAGGTCGTGTACGAAAAAAGGTCGCAACCGACATCCCCGCAGATCGCAAACAAGGTCCTGCACAGAAAATGTCTCCGTTTTCGGATGCACAATGGGCCTACGAGTCTTGCGCTGTCAGGAGATGCTTCTCAACCGAACCCTGCGACTTGCAAAGCACAAGCTCCCGCAACAGCCAAAGAACCACAAGAAACCTCACTCCTCCGGAATCAAATCTGAAGCCTGAAGACTGCCAGGATCCTGATACCCTGCAATCTTCTCTTTGCACCCTTCAGTGCCTCGTCCGTGATGCCCTGCAAAAGGCGCAAGGGCCCTCGGATCTTCAAAGGGAAAACGTGGCCCTCGTGGCTCATTCTGAGCACCACACCACAGTGCTCCAGCAAAGCTATGCAAAGGTTCACACGCTTGAACGGAGTACGTGCGTGCAAGACTTCTCATAACACATGAAACGAGTCACGTGCTCCTCAGGTCTTGGAAGCTACAAATGCTACAACTATAGCAGCTATGGACAGTATGTCAAAATGCGGATTGCTCGTCTGGCTGCATGTGCGTGCTATGGTGGTTTCGATTCGGCGGTGAAAAAAAGCCAAAGCTCAGCACAGCTCAGCACCGCGCCTGATGGAAGGTCCAGCCACAGACTCGGCAGGAAAGCGGGCAAGTGGTCCACGGAACCTGTGCAGCCACTGACACGCAACATTCAGCGACCTAACTACCTCTGCAGCCATAGGGGTTGGGGAGTTGGGGATTTGGGGCTTCGGGGGCGGGGAATTTTCTACAGGTCCTAATAGCACACTAGATTTGCTCTGGCGCACAGAACATGGCCCACGGAAGGCTTTTGGTTCAAGACAGGAGAGAGGGATAGGTTGGGATAAGGAATGTAGGGTGGCAGTCTGCCATGGGGCAAACACTGAGCTGCCAGAGTACAAACGTTACAAAAACCCAGCGAGCATTTGGCACTGCGGCATGCACTGGACTTTGGGTGTCTTTGGCAAACCTCTTGAAGCGCGACAGGGGCGACGCGTTCTCGAACAGGGGTTTCAAGCCATTTCATGAGTTGCGATAAACACGCTTTTGATTCGTGCGCCATGCTGCACACGGATGCTCAGCAGCTCGAGTGCCGCGTTGCTCCACTTCAGCTTTGAGTGCTGACCCCACACGCCTCTGATTCAGCAGCTGCTTACAAAGCCTGGCGTTCCGCTCACATTCCGGGCACTATTCAAGGGCATGCAACCGCGCAACCCCAAAAAAAGTAGAAAACACGCAAGAAGAGACCTGAAAAGGGGGCAGGATCCGATTCCTCCGCAGGGGCAGTCCAAGCTCCGGCTCGCATCCGCACGACGCACGACGGTACGGCAGCGCCGGTCCACCAGGAGGATGGGCTGGAAAGCCAAAGAGCTGCAAGAACTTCTCAGGTGCAAGGGTCAAAGAGAGGACACGAGGCAAAGAAGAAAGGACTATGCGACACTACGTGAGATGGAAAAGGTTCTGTCGAAGTTGCCTTGGCCGCGGACAGCGAAGATTCAAGAGAACGAAAATCATGTTGGCTTCCTCCCTCGGAAGAGCGGTTTCCGTCGAAACACAGTGACTCCTAGTCTCGTCTCGATGGTTGAAACATAGATCCCACCAGCAAAGCCACTGAAGTTCCTACGTCCCCCTGTCATTGGCAAGGCGCCAAATGGAAATCCACAAAGAGGCAGAGTCTGCAATGGGTCCTCACTTGAAGGTTGCGCTTCCTTTGGTTCGGCTAAGTAGCTGCTTGGAATCGGTTTGGGCCTTTTAGCTAGCGGGCCTGAAATCATGTGGTTCATGTGGTTCATGTGAGCGCACTAACCTCAGCACTAACATCAGCCCGTGCGAAACCTTGAAACCATACCTGACCTGGCCCTGACCATTTATCTTGGATCTCAGGTTCTCTCACGCTCACCTGTAAGCCCATGTCAATCCAAAGCCTTCAAAGGACGCAGGCCAGGACTCGCGGCAGCGATCTGGCGTGATGGGGTTGCAACAGGCTTCATACTCCTCTGAATTCTGCGCATAGTAATTTCTTCAGAGCCTTCAGGGCGCTGCCTCGAGCCTTTTCAGGGTTCAGATGGGCTCAGATGGTTCGGGGGATGCTTCATGATCTGACGCAAAGCCGAAGCACCAACAAAAAGCAAAGGCTTTAGGCCGAAGCCACGAGAACATCATATGTAAAAGCCAGAAAAGAAACCCGGAGGGAGAAGCCCTTTAAGCGGTGCCCAGCTCCTCCTGGAGCACGTGCTGCCAATGCGCCTGGGGGCACAAATACTTCCAACGACGCCACGTGGCCTCTGACGCCTGGATGACTGAATGCTGCGCAGAACGACTGACCTGCGTTCAACCTACGCACAGATTGACTTCGCTCTTTGCACGCCCGTTGAAGATGCCGCACCAAATCGGCCCCAATCGTTCCTACGGCATAAGACGCACGGCCTTAGTTCTGACCCCACCAGGTTCCTGAAACGCGGGCTGCCCTTCTTAGAACTTCTTAGAACTTTCGTTAAATTTCAAGCCTTAATCATTCCTCAGGGCTGGCAAACACGAACAATTTCAGGCATTCGAAACCACACGAAGCAAAAGAAGCGTGCGGTCTTTTGGGGGTTTCGCCTGGTAGCGCTGCCAAACAAGGTCAGGCATGCAGTCGGAGGCATTGGACTGATTGGACCACCTGGCACGACTCAGATTTCGAAAGGACCCTGGCAACACCCGCTTTCCGACTTTTGTCTGATTCCACCGGTCCTTATGCAGGTTCACAGAACAGTGGGTCACCCGACATCTCCTGGCTTTGCTTCGAGGACTTCATGCTGAGTAACAGAGCCTATCAGCACGGCCTGTCTCCCTACGTACTTCACTTGTGGGGCTTTCCACAGTCAACTTCGAGGCGCAACTCTGTCAAGCATCGCCTGTGCTCCGCACACAAAACGAAAGGATCCCGTTGCGAAAGGTACCTGGGGATGCTGACGATCTTACAGGTGCAGTGCAGTGCAAGCAGTCTTCGAATTCGTGCGCAAAACTTGTGCCCACAACAAAAACAGAACAACAGCTGAGAGCATGTACTCGTTCAATAATCGACTGACAAGTTCAGTACACATGGCTGTTCTCAGACCTCACTAGGCCAGGTGGCCGGTATGAGGCTCCAAGTTGCTTCCAGAAGCGCGCAGCACCCCCAGCATCGCCTTTTTCCCAGAAACAAAGGAAACATCTGTTGGACTATTCAAAAGAACCTGAGCTGCAGGGGAATGGGCTTAGAAGTTGGGGCAACGAAGGCCACAAAGCCCGCAAATGACGTGAGAGTGTTCTGAAGTGCCAAACTTCCGCTTCAGCCCACGGTAAAGAATCGGCAAACATACTTGTGGCATCCCCACACAGGGAGGCCGGTGCATCCATGTGTCAAGTCAGCAAATGACTGAGGATGCAACAAGCGGCCCTCTGACCCCCTCAACAAGATGCTTCTTGATACAAGGTAACAAACGCCAAGAATTCTTTGATTCAAGCCAAGCCAGAGCGCTGAAATCTCCAGCGGGAAAGCGTTCCTTCAAAGCGTAGACGGAGGGCCTGAACGCCAGCCCCAACAGGTTTGCGAATCCAACGCGTCTAGGCGACCAACGAAAGTCACGTAATCGACTTCTGAAGCCATTTTCAGTTCAAGCTACATTGCGCACAGTGCCTACTAGTGCCAAGTTGCCTGTCAACAACATCTGACAGCAACCACATCATGCCAGATCACCATCTGAAAGTCCATCGCCATAAGCCAATCTTTTGCTGTGACACCACTTGTTTTGATGCATCCATGTGCAAAAGTCCTCTCAAAAAGACGACGACCATCGTGTGGCGTGCCGTGCTGTACCAGCTCATGCCTTTTTGAAGATTGCTTCACTTACGGATGTTATGACTTATGAAGCATCGTCAGCGAGTTCAAGCACAAGGCGGCGGAATGCAACGAGCAGTGACATCACGTTTCCTGTGCATTTCGTCAATGCGCTGGGCCGCCTTCGTGTTGCTTCAAGTAATTACGCTTGGCAGTCCCTGGGACATCTTACAGTCAGAGGGTCTCAGTATTGACGATCTGACCGCGGATCTTGCGGAAAGAGTCCAAAAAGACCCAGAAAACCAATAGGTTGTGTAAATCCACATACAACTAGGACTCTTGGCCCGCGCAGCCGCTCAAGTGCTCTGCTGAACTCTGTTTTGTCGAGCTGAAGCTATGGAAAACACCGTGCAAAAAGAAGGCTGGTTGTCCTCTGGCTTTGAACCGTAAGGAGCAGCACAGAACACGACAGGTTGTCCCTCTGTACATTCAAGCACCGGCATCTAACTGCACAGGTGCCCGTGACATCCTGCATGATTTACTTGAGCAAGTAGCAGCCATCAAGGACCTCGAATATAGAAAAAAGGCAGAGGCTGGACCTTGACGTCTAGTGTTGCAGCACTGCGTGCGTGCTCCAAAATTCAGCCTGCAGGTCGCAGCGTTACGCTGCCATCGGAACTTTTCGGTATCACGTCCAGTCTAAATCAGACACGTTGTACTATCCTTCCGAGTTGATCTACCTATACCCTCTCAGTCTCAAAGCCAGCACGATGTCTATGCATGTATGTATGAATGTATGTATACGTATACGTCTTTTTCATGTATGTATGTATACAAATTTGTACATGCATACAGACATGCACACGTACCTGCATACATAACATGCATATTTGCTTACATACGTATGTAAATACAAACACGCATTCATGTAGTTTGCGACAATGCAGACGAAAATCCAGTTGCAACTATCCTGGTGCACTTATTTATTGCTGGGAGACGCCAGAACGCGTGCTCCACCATGAAGTCAAACAGCCTTGCACGAAGTACGATCATCACGGAGACTTCAGCACTGCAACAGATCTTCCCCAACTACCACATCGGCCTCTGGTCCAGTTTGAGCCTTCGATGCAAGTTGCCGGCTTTCTTTGCTTCTCTTTCGGAACTGGAGCTCCATCACTACGTGGCCAATCCCCGCCATGATGGTGAGCACTGTTCCAACAATGAGAACAATGGATGAAGCCTGGCTGAAAAGAACTGGGTCCAGACCTACGACGTCGAGGCTGACGTTCTCGGCTGTGAAGAGTAGCAGGGCCAAGAGAAGCGAGAGCAGCAGAATCCACTGGGACAGCTCTGCGGAGACTGCCGCGCCCGGATTTGAGTAAGGCTGGAAGTAGAACAACACCTTCAAGCTGATCAGACAGAAACAGATGCCAACCACAATCTGTAGCCAGGATCCTGGGGCACAGAAGACCAGAACGGCAGTCAGGAAGACCTTGCGGAAGCATTCAAAGACCTCGTAGTACATGGCGTGGGGCCTGTAGTCCTCAAAGATGAACTTGAGGTGTTCAACCTCTGGGTCGTCGTCCCGCTTCACGATCCGAGCCCAAAGAACTTCCTCTTGCGAAAAAAGCCCTGTAGGTCCCTCTAGGTCGCCTGTCTTTCCAAGCTTGGATAGGAGCCGACTGGGGGACAAACTTCCTGCCAAGCCTTCAAGGTTTTACGATTGATCAAGGTTCAGGGTTCAGGGCTTAATCTACGGGTCCCTTATGCCTGTACAATCATACTGTACTACTATACCCTCTAACCCAAGTTTAACATTCAAAGGGTTCTATACGGGGATTTCAAGCTTGCAGCCTTTCTTCTCAGCTTCGAGGACTTTCTGCGCTTGCGAAACCTCCTCCGGGCTGACAGCGGGGCAGATCGCGCTCCGGTGCCTCCAGACACTCGCTGCAATCCAGGCCGGAATTCCTACAGGATAGACCAGCACCATGAAGAGAGCGAAGGCGTGGTAGTGACCGTAAGTTTCGGCATCACAGTCTAGACTCAAATCCACGGCCAAGAATCTGCCTGGAAAGACACACAATCCAGACTGTTGGCGAACTAGACAAGAGAAAAAACATTCCAAACAGCCATCCAAGATCATAAACGCTAGAACTTCGCAGAACCCATGGAACCCGACATCATCGATAGCCTAGATGGCGAGAAGCCCTAAACAGCCCTGGACCCTTGGGCTCTAGACCCTAAACCTGAACCCTTCACCCCTGGACCTTGAACCCTGCCCAAGCACCTGTCTGGCCGCTACCCAAGTCGAAGCTTTCACAACGGAACGTGGCGAAAATGGTGTTGACCTTCTGCCAAGTTGAGGTTGAGGATTAGATTATTTAAATTATTTAAATTTTCCAGCCCGGAAAATAATTTAAATAATTTAAATCCGGAATTAAATTATTTACGTTATTTAAATTCTCGGGCCTCGAAAATAATTTAAATAATTTAATTCCGGAATTAAATTATTTGCACTATTTTCCGCGCCCGAGAATTTAAATACTTTAAATAGTTTTAATTGATTCCCGATTTCTCCGAGCCCAGACCATTTAAATAATTTAAATCATTTAAACAATTTAAAGAATCTAAATCCTGATTGACATTATTTAAACTATTTTCGAGGCCCGAGAATTTGAATTTTTTAAAATTGGGATTTCAATTATTTAAACTATTTTCGAGGCCCGAGAATTTAAATGGGTGGAGTTTTTTTTTGGTCTTTTTTTTTTGGGGGGGGGGTTTTTTTTTTCTTGGTCCTACTTTCCTTACATTTTGGACGGATTTTCTGTCATTAGGTTTTCGTTGGTTTTTCATAGGGAAAAACCTATCTTTTTACATTTTGGACGGATTTCCTGTAATTTCCCTTAGGTTTTCCTTGGTTTTTCCTAGGGGGAAAACCCTATTTTGCTTACATTTTGGACAGATATCCTGTCATTTCCTTCGTTTCTTGGGCTTTGAAGCACGCTTGGTACGGCTTAAAAGAAGCGGGGGGGGGTTGGGGGGCGCAGGCCCCCCACTTGCAAACACCTCGTGGGCTTTGAAGCACGCTCTGCACGGCTTAAAAAAAGCGGGGGGGTTGGGGGGGGCGCAGCCCCCCCCCATTTGCAAACACAATGCTCACACGATGTTTTTCAACTAGTTTCTTGGGCTTTGAAGCACGCTTGGTACGGCTTAAAAGAAGCGGGGGGGGTTGGGGGGGGCGCAGCCCCCCCCCCCATTTGCAAACACCCTGCTCACATGATGGGTGTCAACAAATTTCTTGGGCTTTGAAGCACGCTCTGCACGGCTTAAAAAAAGCGGGAGGGTTGGGGGGGGCGCAGCCCCCCCCATTTGCAAACACAATGCACACACGATGTTTTTCAACTAGTTTCTTGGGCTTTGAAGCACGCTTTGTACGGCTTAAAAGAAGGGGGGGGGTTGGGGGGGGGCGCAGCCCCCCCCCCCGTTATGGGTGTCAACAAGTTTTCTTGGGCTTTGAAGCGCGCTCTGCACGGCTTTAAAAAAAAACAAGGAAAGCGGGGGGGTTGGGGGGGGCGCAGCCCCCCCCCCATTTGCAAACACAATGCTCACACGATGCTTTTCAATTAGTTTCTCGGGCTTTGAAGCACGCTTGGTACGGCTTAAAAGAAGCGGGGGGGGGGGTTGGGGGGGCTGTGCCCCCCATCTGCAAACACCCTGCTCACATGATGGGTTTCAACTAGTTTCTTGGGCTTCGGCTGAAAAAAAGCGGGGGGGTTGGGGGGGGAGCAGCCCCCCCCATTTGCAAACACAATGCTCACACGATGTTTTTCAACTAGTTTCTTGGGCTTTGAACGGCTTAAAAGAAGCGGGGGGGGGTTGGGGGGTCTGCGCCCCCCATTTGCAAACACCCTGCTCACATGATGGGTGTCAACAAGTTTCTTGGGCTTTGAAGCGCGCTCTGCACGGCTTTAAAAAAAAAGCGGGGGGGTTGGGGGGGGCGCAGCCCCCCCAAATTCGCAAACACAATGCTCACACGATGTTTTTCAACTAGTTTCTTGGGCTTTGAAGCACGCTTGGTACGGCTTAAAAGAAGCGGGGGGGGTTGGGGGGGGCGCAGCCCCCCCCCATTTGCAAACACCATGCTCACATGATGGGTGTCAACAAGTTTCTTGGGCTTTGAAGCACGCTCTGCACAGCTTAAAAAAAGCGGGGGGCACAGCCCCCCCCCAATTTGCAAACACAATGCTCACACGATGTTTTTCAACTAGTTTCTTGGGCTTTGAAGCACGCTTGGTACGGCTTAAAAGAAGCGGGGGGGGTTGGGGGGGGCGCAGCCCCCCCCCCCATTTGCAAACACCCTGCTCACATGATGGGTGTCAACAAGTTTCTTGGGCGTTGAAGCACGCTCTGCACGGCTTTAAAAAAAAGAGCGGGGGGTTGGGGGGGGCGCAGCCCCCCCCATTTGCAAACACAATGCTCACACGATGTTTTTCAACTAGTTTCTTGGGCTTCGAAGCACGTTTCCTTTCTTCCTTCCTTGCTTCCTTCCTTTCTTCCTTTCTTCCTTCCTTGTTTCCTTCCTTTCTTCCTTCCCTCCTTTCTTCCTTCCTTCCTTCCTTCCTTCCTTCCTTGTTTTCTTCCTTTCGTTCATCCTTCCTTCCTTCCTTTCTTTCCTTCTTTCCTTCTAAAACGTACCAGAAATAACGCTTTCCTATGAAACCACAGAGAAATTTCTGTTTTTCGTACGAAAAACCACGAAAATGCATCAAATCCTTCAAAATATATGGAGGGAATGGTGGTTTTCTTAGGAAAAACCAAGAAAATCGACCAAAAAAAATATGCCCACAAAAAAATACTCAAAAAAATAGGCCCTCCAATTTAAATAATTTAGATCCCGATTTAAATTATTCAAATTCTCCGGCCTGTAAAAAATTTAAATAATAAATCACGATTTAAATTCTTTAAAGAATTTAAAATATTTAAACTATTTAAAATCATTTAAAATATTTGAACTATTTAAATTTTTTAAATTCTTCAAACTATTTAAATGGTCTGGGCTCGGAGAAATCCGGGGTCTATTTAAATTATTTAAATTCTCGGGTCCGGAAAATAATATAAAAAATTTAAATCGGGATTTAAATTATTTAAATTAGTTTCGAGGCCCGAGACTTCAAATAATGTAAAAAAAATTAATTCCTGATTTAAATTATTTAAATTATTTTCGGAGTCCGAGAATTTAAAAAATTCAAATCCGTAATTAAATTATTTAGAGATTCTTTTCGAGGCCCGGGAATTTAAATAATTTCAATTTCATTCTTCAATAGGTTCTCCATATATAAAGAAAAACAGGTAGCAACATAGCACATAAAGGTCCTTCTCTCATATCTAAATATACATATACATATACATATATATATATATATCAAATATCATATATCATGTCATACCATATCATATCATATATATATATATGGTATATTGTATACATACATACATATACATGTATGTATGTATTGTCCTGTCTGAAAAAAACATGATAAATGGATAGATAGATAGACAGGTAGATAGATAGGTAGATACGTGTGGACAGGAAGCCAAACAGTACTGATTGCAACAAATACATGTCATCATGTTTGTCGTTTACATTGTTCAAGTCTTTTCAAGCACTTTTTCTGATCCTGTTTGACATGACGAATTGGCATGCGAATGTCTGTGTGTACATGTATGTGTTTACATGCACATGCACGCGGCAGACACCATGTTCAGCAATCTTAACATCTTGATGTCTGGTTTGTCAAGTGTGGCCGAAGGTTCTTGCTGTCCCCTTTAACTAACTTGGCCACCATCAGAACACAACCAGAAACCCGAAAGAGTCACATGCTGCATGCCCGTCATGCGCAAACCCCCCAAGGATTTTGACAAGGATCCGACTATTATAGTGAGCGGTCTGCACTTGTGCGCACTACGCAGTTTGAGAACGGGAAACCTGCTATGTAATCAGGCCCACCACAAACGATACACAGTAGCTGCGCAAGCTCGGGCCGCGACCGCAAAGGGAAACACAAGGTAGGTCAACAGCAGGCAGGCACCAAAGTAGGAGGACTGCAGCTTGGCCCGACCCCCAGCAACACGGCCGTGGATGACCCAGGTGACTGCCAAGACAAGGACGAGGGCAATAGGCAGACATGTGGTCACCAGCAGTCGGTCGTAGAAGGTTGTGGCCCGAATGCAATTCAACGGGACGATCTCCAACGAAAGGTTGAAAATGCCCACGCCATGTGCGAAGTCTCGGAAAGACTCCGGCCAGACGATGTCAGAAAAAATCCCCGGGAGCATGTTCAGTACTTGCAAGAGAGAGACGAAGATCTTCGCCTGCAAAAGTTGGCGCTCTCTTTGGTCCGGGAGCTCAGCTGTGGTTTTTAAGGGCTGGCACCTTAAGGGTCGTCACGGGATCGAACTATTGAAGGTCACATTCAAAGTCCCTCTTACTTGCTGAAACGCCCATGTAAGCCGTAGCAGGAATCCATGTCAACCATTCTTCAACCCATGCCGGCCTGGGTCTTTAGATCCTTTTTCTTTGCCTTCCAATTTTGCACCGTTCGGTCTGCGAGCTCGCGGATGTGCTTGCGGAAAAAGATCAAGACGGGCACCAAACACAGGAAGGCAATGGCAAGAACTATGGCAAGAACTTGGGCAAGCCCAATTTGAGCTGCCACGTCCGGGCAAGCTTGGCACTCTGAACTGCTGAAGTCCTTGTAAAATCCTTGAGAGCAAACTTCGCAACGAGGTCCTTCATGGCCCAAATTGCAGCTATCATCGCCAAACAGCACTCCACCAAGGCAAGAAGCGTTGCTCTTGCACTCGTACACATCAGAGGTAGTATTCCCATAGCGCCAGTACCCTGGTTTCAGGATCAAGTCCTGAAACACAGGCTGCAAATGGTATATTGCAATTTAGAGTACACGATAGTACATAATCATAGTTCATTATTACGGACGATTGTGCTTGATTTAGTCAATTATGGTCTATCTCGCGTCTCTGAGCATCTATTTTTGCTTGTAGCAAGGTGATTATCTATGCGTCATACGGTTGCAGCGTGTGTTTGAGAGGCTTTGTGGGCTTTTGTTGTATCTCATAGTCTGCTTCTCCCTAAGCCCTCTTATTGGCGATGGGCACCGATGGGCACCTCAAGCTCAGAGCCCCTCTCGTCGCAAACGGCACCCTCCGGACAGGGCTGGCACCCAAGGCCATCGGCATAGTATCCTCTGGGCTTCAGGGTTGTCACGAGGCCTCTCAAGGGTGGAGGGTTTAGGGATGTTTAGGGATGTTTAGGGTTCAGGGCAGTTCAGGAGTGCTTTATGTGCGAGTCCTTTGCTGCAGCTGCAGGATGATACGTTCTCGTCAACTCTCTCGCTGTTTGCTGGACAGGGCAAGCATTCCGCTTGGTCCAAAGGCCAGGTGTCTGCGTCATCGCTCCACCACTTGTAAAAGTTGGCTGGGCATCGCAGTGCTGCGGGAACCGGATATTCAAACCCAACTTGCGCGTATTCTGTGGGTAAGAGGATAGATAATGTCGCGTTGTCGAAAAGTCTTGTTGTGGGCGACTCCATCCCATTGATCTGTCCAAGAGGGCTGAAACGGGCTGGCCCTTGAAAGGTCTCGCCAAATATTTCGCCGGACAGCATAAAGTCTCGAACTGCGACGTACACGCTTCTGTCCGCTTCAGAGTGCAGCAAGTTGCTGGGATCTTGAATTTCGCGGAATCGGTAGACGCCTTGCACTGCCTGACAGGTTTCCATTGGGATTGATCCGCCCAAACCCCAAACCCAAAAAACAACAGGGCTTGCAGCGGCAAGAACCGCCTCATTTCACACCCCGACCTGAATGAATGCAGACACGGCCGTATCCATTTCGTAGTTCTTTTCCACTGCATTTTCGGTGTCCTTCTCATCCTCGGCTTTTCTGAATTCACCAGCGGTGAGGTTCAGCACCCCGTCTTTCAGCTCGCTTGCAACATGGTACAATGCACCAGGCTGCGTGCTTGAAAGGACATGAGCGCAAAGCTCCCCCATGCCCAAGCAAAAGATGCCCTTTGTTCCCCAAACCAGGTTCACAGACCACCTTAGTTGCTGAGTGCCCTGGTTAGCCCTTTTCGACTAGGGTATAGGATTATGGATAAAGCCATGATAAAGCCATACAGGTTACCTACTGAGCTACCAAGCCACATTCCGCTTGGCACATGCTCCTGGCGCCGCGACTCTAGCTTGTGAAGGATGAGCTCGAGACCAGCTTTGCCCGATGATGTTATGATCACATCCACCTGGGGGTTGAGAGGTGCTTCGGGCGCAGTGCTTTTAATGGTGTTTAAGAATGTTTAGGATTCAATCGAGGGCCGTCCACCTTCTCGTCGATGGCCTCGTCAATTGCACGTTCCCAAACCCTCTGCTCTTCTGCGCTGCTGATGGCGCCGAGCTGATCCATTTTAAACTCCTCATAGGGGCTACGGCCAGAGTCGCTTGTCTAAAGACGCATGAAACACTTGTGAACGTTGAATGCTGAATTACATGCATTCGGAAAGATTCTGCGTCTAGCAGGGCTTGACCCGAAGCTTGTTCAGATTCCTTAGTCTCCTTATTCAAATATTGCTCGCCGCGCTTCAGTAGCAGCCCGGAATTCAATCCTCGATTAAAGACCCTGCCCCAGGTCCGAGAACTTGCGGGTGTGGAAGGGCCCTACCAAAAGGATAATCAACATGTTTTCACAGGAAAGACGTGCCTCTGAAATTAGCTTTCCGAAAAACAAGCCTTGGAGCGATGGAAAGCCTTCACGAACGACGACGACGAGGAGGAGGACGACGAGGACGACGAGACATGACGAGACATGACGGGACATGACGAGACATGACGAGACATGACGAGACATGACAAGACATGACGAGACATGACAAGACATGAGGAGACGTGACGAGACACGACGAGACACTACAGGACACGACAGGACACGACAGGACACGACAGGACACGACGGGACGACGTGAGGACGTGAGGACGTGACGACGTGATACGACGTGACGACGTGATACGACGTGACGACGTGATACGACGTGACGACGTGACAACGTGACGACGTGACGACGTGACGACGTGTCGACGCGACGACGTGACGACGACGTGACGAGACGACCACCACGACGACCACGGCGACAGCCCTCATGCCTCTTGTGAACATGCCGCAAACACTGCTATTTTTGCAGCGTTTCTTGCTTCTGTCTACAACGTACAAGACACCGCCACAAATCTTTGCAAACGCAAACAACCAAAAAGCTTGTTGAACCATCAACGAAATGCAACCCTGACTGTTGTGCGCATTGATTTCATCGTAAAGACCATGGTTTTCAGCTACAATCTCACAAAAAGTACACTGTCACGAGCGTGCCCCCGCGCGTACATAGGACTCGGTTTGGAATCATGGCAAATCCTTCCCACTCTCACGAGAACGTGACGTCACTCATGCACTACGCATCTACTACTACCGCCGCCACCACCACCACCACAACGACGACTGCTCACTGCCACTCACTACTACTTGGGGTTGGTCTGGAGCCCCCGAGTCATGCTTAAACTCTTCTTGATGTGAACGAAATGGTCTTCATAAGAGGTCGCGAAAGGGCTACTTCGTACTAAACGCACCCCGTCTCCCGTTCCACCTAGAAGAAAAGGCAGGCAGAATGCACAGGGGCGCCTTGACTGTGATCTCATTGTCTTGCAACAGCTGCACGGCTCCCTCACCGACTCCACTGAAAAAGAGGTTCTCACCCTGGGTCCGAAGCTGCAGCGACAGTCACTGAGAGTTTTCAGGTTTCGAGTTCAGGATTTCAGGTTGAGAGTTTAGGGTTTTTAGGCTTGGGGTTCAGGGCTTAAGGTTTAGGATAGGTTTAGGTAAAACCAACCAAGCGTCAGCGAAGTAAATCACAGCTGCCGTCTTCGCGCCGCGCAAGGCAAACTGTCGAATGGCGCCCGCGGCATAATTTCGGGAATCGACGTGCGAGCTGAAACCCCACTTCAGGGGTATACCTTGTTGCGAGACTTGCCAAACAGAGAAGATTAAGGCAATAATTCCACGACCAACTCCCCTTCAAATATTTTTGGCACGTCGCCCGTGGCTTTGTGGGTGGCCTCAGAGATTTGACTCCATGGGCCCCTAGCTGTCATCCATATCCGGCCCAGTTGGTTGGCAAGCTTTGCTTGCTCTGTGATGAAATCATCCCTGCAGCCGCTGCCCATGCCAACAATGAATGACCAACCAGGAAAGAGCTGTCGTCCTAAAGCCTCGGGGCTGGACAGAAGAAGCAAACTTGAATCAAGAAGGACTGTTTTGGGTTTAGGGCTGGCGGTGCAACAACTGAGCTTTGGACATCACCATGCGTCCAATTCCCTTTTCGAAAGGACCGACGGGTGAAGTTCAACCGGTAGTAGTACTTTGGATAAGGTCTGGACTGTGCAACCTCGAGCCCACTGGAATGTACCATGAAACCTCTCCCACCATTCAGCCTGTTGACTGCTTCGATGTACGGCATTGGGTCGTGGCCGGAACAATCGTACTCGGGAAGGTTAAGCCGGTTAAGCACATTGTCATCTTCATCATACAATCCGTCATGATACTCAAAGATGCCCCCGATCTGCAAGTAGCAAGGCTCCGTCTCTGTCGCATTCCACGTGCACGGAGAGTCTTCTCCGCTCGTCATGAAAAGCCCTCCGAAAAGGAGGATGGCCCGAAGCATGGTCATGTCCGGCACGGCGCCACGGTCAAGCCAAAGAAACGGTTTCGGCTTTAGGGAAGAAGACTAAAGCACCACGAAAGGCTCATGCGACAGGCTCGTGCGTGTGAATCGTCATGTGCTACGAAAAACTTGAATCTCAACAACATGCTTAGCTGTAGCCAAACAGCAAAAACATGCCTCTGCCGTAAAGATGTTCATGCGTTCTGTCCTCTTGTCTAGCACAACTTCCGTTTGTATAAGCGCGCCCTCCAGCTTTCAGTTTCGAATGCTTGCCAAACAGATTCCTGGTCTGTCATTTTCGGGAACTTCTGACAGAGAAGTCTTGCAACCCTTTCGGGGCAGAGTTCACTGATTCATGGTTGGGACCGAACCATCAGGGTGTACCAACGTCTTGAAGCATATCTTCAATAATACTCATACTGAACACAGATTTCAGATTTGGAAAAAAGACGTCACATTGAATTACCACCGAGTGAAACATTAAAATGATGAACAAAACTGAAGTGTATCCTATCATGCTATCAGGTATCCTGATACATACGGTAGTACACCGGATTTTCAAACATGATTTGCTTGCAACTCAAAGGCTTCAGATTTGAGGCTCACCCGTGAAGCTGCGATTGCTGCTAAGTGGTCGTCGTAGTGGTAGCGTAGCAGCGGCAGCAGCAGGAGCAGCAGTCGTAGTAGCAGGAGGATGACGCACAACAATCGTGTCTCGATCATAACGGTGACAGTGATGACTATGAAGCCGAACACGATGATGACGCTAACGATGACGACGCTCCGAATTCAAAGTGACATCCTTGTAGCTACTGTCATTACCAGGACTAGCACTGCTCTTGATTTGTTATGTTCCAACCAACACTCTCATTACAACTGACGGGAGCCGTAAACCCTAAGCCCTGAATCCTCCCCCCCCCCCCCCCCCCCCCCCCCGCAAACCCTAAACCCGACACACTATAGAATAATACATCTCTAAGTTGTGCTTCCGGGAAACAGCGGCTTCAGGGGCCGGCAGACCTTGTAGACGCCTCGGTCTGCTACTTTACGAGGAATATTTGTCAGCTTTATGGCTTTAAGCAGGTTCACGCGCGGTGGCGTAAAATAGGAGGGAAAATAAGCATGTCGACAGTGCCGATGAAGGCCCAGCCGAAAACAACCCAAACAGAGAACCCAAACCCAAAGGTTGAAGACGAACACGAATCGTTTCTTGTCAGGTTCGGTGCTTGGGGCTCGGTGTGGGAAGGGCACAGTCTAAATGATTGTAAAAAATTAAAGGCTGGGGGGCTCTTCCATGGGTTTCTACAGGGTTCCTTCAAGGGTACTACACGGTTTCCATCAAGTTTTTATTGAGGGTTCGGTTATTAAGGCTTTGGGGTTTATGGTTTTGGCCCTAGCAGACTGGGGTTCGGGGTTCAAAGATGGACGTACTGCCCCTAAACCGTACACTCATGAACCAAAAGGCAGCCCAAATGCCTTCTTCAATGAGCCTAAATCCCTGAGCAATAGACATGCAAGCTCTGGAATGGAGGATAGTTCGGGATGTGGGTTGAGGTCAGCACTTTTGCTTGAATCCAAGGCAAACCTAACCCCTTAAACCCTAAATCCTAAATGCGCGACGCTTGGTGCTCATGCACTCAGCTTTCTGACCTCGCCGAAGGCACCCGAACCGATGCAAGCAGCCTCTTCGTCCCTCATGCAGTGCGCGGAGACCCACATGTCTCGCAATGATCTTCTGAACCGCTGATTCGGTCTGGGCGACTGCAGCGAGCACGATCTCTTCATCGTCGAACAAGTACGGCGCGCGCACTTCAATGCTCGCCCGTCCTGCTTCGGTTGCCCTTGAAGCTTGCGTCAAGAAACTCGAGAAGTCGTCCTTGATGACTCAAACTCAACGCAGCCTGAGCTGTCGACCGGTCCATATTTGCTGGCAGTAGCCCTCGGCATCCCCCACATTTCTCAGCACGAAGTCTCATTCCCGTTGGTCGCCTCAACACCCGTGTGGTTGAGGGACTCAAGGGCGGCTACTCGTCGGGTAGCATCCCGGCCCTCCAGTAAAATCCAGGCTTCTTGGGGTTTCGCGAATCATCTCCTCAGCAATCCCGGCTGATGCATTTCTCGCTGGATGAGACTCATTCTGTGTGGTCCCACTCCACCCACCACAGTGTCACGAGCAGACGAGATGCGCGGATGGCGAACTCAGGGCTGATGGGCTTTGGACCTGAGCCAAACGGGCTTTTTGCAGATGCTTTCGAGAGTCGGGGCGCTGATGCGATGCCACGAGATGCACGTTCTCTTTAAACACAGGCAGAATCGTCCCTTTCATGTTTGAGCTTCGACGGCTGCAAAGGGTTTCTGAATCACTGTTTGCAAGAGCGATATGAAAAGGGGCGGAGGGGGGGTTTTGCAAACCGGAGCTGCTTACACACCCTGGGCATATAAGCCGCGCTCACGCAAGTCGTAGCTTCCTTCCACTCTCGCCTTTTGCCGAATGTACTTGGCCATCGGTTCCATCGCATCATGAAATTGGGTGACCGCCTTCCATGACTATGCCAGACTGCCGCAACCTCTTTTTTCATCTTGCCTCGTCATGCAAGTCCTGCAAGTCAATTAGTTGAGAGAGAATGCTGGTCGGGTCGTCGCAAGCGGGCTGCGAAAACTTTAGGCCCTGCATCATAATGGTAGAGCAGGTTGCAGAAGGATTTGGAACTTCTGAGACAGCGGCCCAATAACTCTGTAGATGCACCTTGTCAGCCTTCAGCTGCGCTGAGTACTTTACGCCTGTGTTACACTTTCGAACAAGGCAAGAAGACCATCCAACTGCAACACGCCGACGAACACCATGACAAGGCGTCGAGGGCAGCGGCACGCACTTCCCCAGCACAGGATCCAGCTTGGCCTCTACAGCCTTTGGAAAAGTATTCCAAATTATAACATCCTCTTAACACTCCATAAGGGAAATACACAAACTATCTCATGGTCCTGTCCAGGGATGTGACGGTGCAGGGCTGGCTTTGAAAGCACCCTGCATCTTGCACAAGGTGTACAGCACGAAACGCCCCGCTAAGGGTCTAGGGTTTAGGGTTTATGGCATCGCGGCTTCATGAACTACATGCCCACCTTGCACAAGCCTTTACTTGCAGGATGTCTTTGGGTGTTCCCAGTATAAAAGGGGACTGGGCAGCGGCCTGTTCAGCAACAGACAAAAAGACCCATGGCCCATTGCACAGCAGCCAACAAACAGGGACATGGTCTGACGATCTGCGGGACATCCATTGTGAAATCATGGCCGGCAGCTCATGTAGGCAAGCAAGTTCCCAGCAAGCATGTTCCCAGATTTCTCGGACCTCAGACTCACCCCGTTACATCACGTGGCCTGGACAATGAATTAGAGCCAATTGCCAGCTTTCGTTTTGAATGAGCCGGCATGCACGTTCTTGTGCATCTGATCTCGTCACTTGGTGACGTCACTCAGCAATCCTAAAAAACATTGAACCGAACACGACGCTTACTGCCCGGGTTGGGGACATGCGCTATGGGGGGGGGGGGCCGACATGAGCCAGCACTAACTTGAAAATGGCACGCCAAAGGGTGCTCTGCTCGGACCGCATGGCACAGCCCCGGACGCTGGGTCGAGCATCTCGCGATTCGCGATCAGCTGGCAGGCTATCGCCATGAAGCTCTCGACGTCACTGTGAAGTTCTCGGTTGTCAAGGAACTAAGGAAAGTTAAGTGAACTTCTTTGGCAAAAGCGGCTTGTCAGGGAACATAACCCCTAAGCAGGGTCCTAAACCCTAATGCGAAACCTGAAACCCTAAAGCCCTAAACCCTCTAAACTCTGCTAAACCAGAAATTTTCAACCCTAAAGTGAGGGTACTGAGCATCCTAGAATCGCCGCGAGAGTTCAAGGACGTGTCGGTGCCCCGCTAGCAGCTCCTCTGGTATGGTCCCGCTCCTGTGGCTTAGGGGAAAAAGGGGACAAAACAATCGAGATGGGAGTTCTAGGGGTATGCCAGGGTTTTGTATATATCATGATAGATCGGTGTTCTAGGGCCCATAGAAACCAGAATCCATTTCCAAAACTTTCCAAAACCTTTGAGCCGTTCTTCTGTGACGCCCGCCACGGTGTCGGTGGAGCCGTTGTGCTGCAGAAGCCTGCACACAAAGAGGCTTTCAAAGAGGTGTAGGGCCCTTAGGGTTCAAGGTCGCATAGGACATGCTCTGGAGCACTGGAATCTCGAGTGGCGGCAAACCCCCAAAGGCCTCGTCCTTGCAGCTTGGACAAGTGATATCCGATGGCCAGGTTGATCACGTTGGCCCAGTTCCGCAGCTCACAGATTCGTTCATGAATGCGATCTGCCATGGTGGCCACTGAGTCTGCGTGCGCAAGGCCTGGCGGCGCATACATCTCTGCCAAAGCTGTGTTCCACTGCCCCTAGCGCTTTCCCTCTAAGCCAATGGCCGCGGCTCATAGCGTCTGCCACCACTGCAAGAAAGACACCCCAACCTAAACTCCTAAACCTGACCTCTATATAAGCCCCAGACTTCCCTGAGCACTACCTTAACCCTAATACCCTAATCCCAACGAACAATCTACAAAAAACTCCAGACCAAAACGCTTGAAAGCCAATTCCACACTACATCAACCCTAAACCCTAAACTTGCCCGAACCCTCTGCTTCATAAATACGAACCCTTGAACTCCACAAAGGCTGTAGAAAGTCTCCGTTTAGGGTTTAAATGTTTAGGGATGCTCAGGAGATTTGGGGTTTCGGGATGTTCAGGGAAGCCCGGGCTCAGCTAGATTGAAGGTCCCTTTCAGGTTTGTCGAAGGCTTCGCCTTTTGCCGAATGTACTCAGACTGCCGGAACCTCCTTTTTCATCTTTCCTCGTCATGCACGTCATGCAAGTCAATTAGTTGAGAGAGAGTGCTGGTCGGGTCGTCGGATCGGGCTGCGAAAACTTCAGGCCCTGCACCATAGGTGCTGGAGCAGGTTGCAGAAGGTTTTGGAACTTATGAAGGCAGCGGCCCAACAACTCTAGTCTATAAATGTACCTTGTCAGCCTTAAAGAAACTTCAACTGCGCTGAGTTGCACTTTCGAACAAGGCAAGAACATCCAACTGCAACGTGCCGACGGCACCATGACAACGCATCGAGGGCAGCGGCACGCACTTCCCCAGCACAGGATCCAGCTTGGCCCGTAAAGCCCTTTTGAAAAGCATTCTATATTGCAAGATCCTCTTAACAGACAATACGGGAAATGTGTAAACCCATGGTCCTGATTCTTGATACGACGGCCAGGCTGTGTTTCTTGTCGGCCCTAGCTGTCAGGCCAAGACTCTCACAATATGACGCCATATCTTGCAATGCACGCGTGTGTACCCATAGAGTAGATGAACCCCAAAAAAAGTATCTAGTAGCCATCTGAACACGAGGACTTTTGGGTCACGATGGGATCAAGCCTGGCTGCTGACATGGTGGAGCTGTGGATGAGAGCGCTTTGAAAGTCTAGATGTTGAGGGGCCTTTAGGGTTTCGGGGCTTCAGGAGACCGGGCGTGCGCACGCACATCCCGCGCCTCCACATGAATGGCTCCACACTGGCAAGCCATCAACGGTGTAGTGAGATCAGCATCGCTCTTTCTGGGTTTGTCAGGTGTCAATTTATGGGGCGAACGTGTGACCATCATTGAGGAAATGGTTCTGACGAGGCCTGCTAAGCGTGACCCGCCCAGATGTCGCGTTGGCGTTTGCTGTCTCATCCCCTAAGCCGTGAGTTTAAAGTGTGCAGTTCCGGCCCTTGTTGTAGCGAGACTTCGGGGCCTTTCTTCAGCACCCGACTGCTATGGCGGCAAAGACATGAAAAGACTGCCAACAATGCGCAAAGCTGTCTTCTACTGTACAGCGCAGTGGTCGAAGTAGCCTGGGCCCAATCAATCAGGGCTCCTTTTGCTTATCGCGTCCTCGACCATACAGTTTGTACATCCATGAACATCCCTCAGGCCGATATGAAGGTACTTCAAGGTACTTCGCCATTCTCAGAGTCGATTCCTGTGTAGGCTTCAGGGCTTTTATGAAACCCGCCCGCCGAATGTCGTATACTCTGGGACATCCATGCCAGGGCATCAGTTGATTGGGGGCGTGCTTGCACTTGGAGAAACAGTGGTTCTGCACAGTATGTGTGCGTTTTCTTCCAGAACACATCGCCCCCAACCAAAAAAACTCAGCAAAGAGTTCTAAAGACTTGAGCCTCGCGACGCAGCTCAGCGACATTGCGTCTTCAGGCCACATTCGGCCCGTGTCTGCGCCCTGTCGAGGCAAGAACGTTGAAGAAGTGTTGCCAACAACGCATGCCAAGGGTCTCGACAATACATCGCACAGTGCGCGGCCCCGCGGTCGCAGTAGCTTAGGCCAGATCAATCTGGGCTAATTTGGCTCATCGTGTCCGAGACTACAGTTTGTGCAACCACGAACATCCCTTTGGCCGATAGGAGGTGCTTCGTTTTCTGAGCCATCATCATGGAAGATGGCTCAGAGTCGCCCTGTCTGGGCTTCAGAAAGATGTTTAAATTTCAGGGCTATTCTGAAGCCATGCCAGTGCTCCAGTGACTCTAGAAAAACGACGCCAGGGCATTGGTCGATCAGGGTGGCAATTGGAAAACATGTTTATGTAGGTAGTTTTGTGATTGTTCTGGAAAGGAGCACATCTCGCTCAACCGAAAGACACCTCAACAAAGAAGTTTAAACAAACTCGTCCTGTCATGTCCCGTCATGATAGCTTTTCCGTTCAAGCAGCTGCACCGTGACGAGCTCTATCTTCTGTATGTTTGCTGGTCCAACTTCACAGCGGGTATCCGAGCGGGCATCATAGCTCTAGCCTTTCGCAAGGCATTCATGCCAGCACGTTGTGCTTGCATAACCTGCATCGACGTGTCAGCGGACGGGCTCGCTTGTGGAGAAAGGAATGGCTTCTGGCCCGGGTCGCGGATGCTGTGCGTGCGAGGTCCACACCACTTGTTCATGTTCGCACGCAGGCCCTGCACGAACGAGGGGACGATGTCAACTGGCTGCGAGCGCCCAGAGGAGGTGGCGAGCATCCGGTTGGCCCATGCACTCCGAAAAAGCTGAGCGGTCCAAGTGTTCACGAAATTCACAAAGCCGTAGCCCTTGTGTTGTCGGCGGCCGACGTCTTGTGGCAGGTAGCAAAAATTGTAGAATTGCGCAAAGCCGGAGATGTTCAACTCCTGCATGAGGTCGTTCTGGGTCATGCACTGTGGAACACCCCTGATCATCATCGTGGTCACGTCGATGCTGTGGGTTGTCAACTGTACAGTTGGCATGCTCCCACCCCCCCGCCGCCGCCCCCCCCCCCCCCCCGCGAAGGGACTCCAGGGAATTCATCCTGTGCAAGGATGCTTTGGCCTCGACTTTCTTGGACGCATGATCCTTGTCCATCGGCTCATCCAGGCCTCGCAGCAATGGCATATGCTCGCGGTTTGTGCCTTGAACTTGCGGACCCAGGGCGCTGGCGACGCATCGCGCCTCAAACCAAGCCTCGTCGTCAGTGTCCGGCCAAGTCACCGACAACGGATCTGCAGCTGGACTTTCATGCTCGAAGCTGGCGTCGCTGAAGTCGAGGGGTGCGAAGCCGGAGAAGCTGTTGGAGCGACGGAAAGTGCTTAGGGTGGGTGAAGACTCGTCACCGAAGATGAGGAACGTCTGTGGCAAAGGTGGCAGACGAGATTGCATGAAAGCACTCATGAAAGCCATGGCTGGAGAGTGCTACAGGAGTTGCAGATGCGGGCAGCCTTGATCCAGGAAACATGACTTTAAAAAGTCAGGTCTCTGAAGCAGCATCTCCTTTTGGGTGCTGCAAAACAAAGCGGGGGGGCTATGACGACAGGGACCCAAAACAGAGACGCCACGTACTTCGATCAGCCCCACCATACAGCTACGTGGGAACCATCCTGCCGGTTTTTTGAGGTGATTTCGGCTACTTCGCCGCAGCCTTCTGTCCAGAAACCGGGTTCAGCTGGATTGAAGGTCCTTTTCAGGCTTGAGCTTCGAAGCTTCGAAGGCTGCAAAAGGTTTCTGAACGCACTGTTTGCGAGAGCGATATGAAAAGGGGAGCAGGCAGGTTGTTGCAAACCGGAGCTACTTACACACCCTGGGCATCTAAGCCGCGCTCACGCAGGTCGTAGGTTCCTTCCACTCTCGCCTTTTGCACGGGCCGAATGTACTTGGCCATCGGTTCCATCGCATGATGAAATGGGGTGATAGATTTCCAGGACCATGCCAGACTGCCGGAACCTCGTTTTTTCATCTTTCCTCGTCATGCACGTCATGCAAGTCAATTAGTTGAGAGAGAATGCTGGTCGGGTCGTTGCAAGCTGGCTGCGAAAACTGTAGGCCATCATAATGGTAGAGCAGGTTGCAGAAGGATTTGGAACTTATGAAGACAGCGGCCCAATAACTCAAAAGATGTACCTTGTCAGCCTTCAAGAAATTGCAGCTTCGCTGAGTGCTTTTCGCCTGTGTTACATTTTCGAACAAGGCAAGACCATCCAACTGCAACATGCCGACGGCACCATGACAAGGCGTCGAGGGCAGCGGCACGCACTTCCCCAGCGCAGGATCCAGCTTGGCCTCTACAGCCTTTTGAAAAGTATTCTAAATTATAACATCCTCTTAACACCCCATAAGGGAAAAACACAAACTATCTCATGGTCCTGTCCAGGGATGTGACGGTGCAAGGCTGGCTTTGAAAGCACCCTGCGTCTTGCACAAGGTGTACAGCACGAAACGCCACTAAGGTTCTGGGTTTTAGGGTGTCGTGGCTTGCCCACACACAGACAAGTCAAAAAGAGCTCGGCCACAGTTCAAGCTTTTTTTTTTTGGACCGATGCCTCTTTACTACATCAGCAGCGCAGTAGGCCGTTCTTAGGGATCTCAACACGAGAGGTGAAACGGAGCAGGTGCGAAAACCAAGCAAACACACACCAAAACAACCACAAAACACAACCACCAACCAGCAGCAACCCGCAAGAGAGCAGCGCAGCGCATACGGGGGGGTCGCAAGATGCGAGGGTATGCCAGATCATCAAAACCACCATCATGTAGCCACTGGTGCAAAGAAGGTCAGCCGGCAAGCTGTAAATCGAAGATCGACAGCAGAATTACCGACCGACACGGTGAGGTACCAGGCGCACAGTAGCGAAAAGGGAAAGTACAAAATGGCCCAATATCCCAGAGGGAAAGCAAGGCCAGCACGCGCCCCATGGTGGTCAGCCAGTGGGGACTTGTTGGCAAGAACAATGGATGCAAGACCAGCCCAGGGCACCCCATGGTGGTCAGCCAGTGGGGCAGCCCCGAGCGACAGCCGACACAACTTGTGTGGCTTTATTATTGAAGCCCGCCAAGGTCGAGGTGCGCCACTGAGCCCAGTTTGACCACATACCCAAGTAGAAACAGGGGCCGCGGTCAGCAGGGCTTTCAACACTTCCCAGAGAGGGAGCCTGCGAGAAGCAGCGGCTACCGATTCAGAGGGGAAAGACTACCCGACAGCAGTCAAACCCTCACTATATCCTACAGCAGAAGGAAAGCCAGCGCGCGCCCCATGGTGGTCAGCCAGTGGGGACTTGACAGCAAGAGCAGCTGCAAGACCAGCCCAGGGCACCCCATGGTGGTCAGCCAGTGGAGCAACCCCGACTCAGAGCCAATACTTTTACGGTTCCCAAGTTGGAAAACCGACCAAAAGTTCCCAACACCCAGGCGCACCACTGTGCTCAGCCCGGCCACATATCCAAGTAGAGCCTGGGGGCGTCGTCAGAAGAGTCCTCCTAGTTCCCAGGAAGGAAGCCAGCGAGTGGCAGCAGCAATACAGCAATCCAACCTTAATCCGGCCCGCAGCACTTCATTGCCATGGACCCTCCCAATCCGGGTGTCTCGAACGGTACCAGGAGGAGGGCATGTCAGCACGCTTTCCTGATTTTGGGTCTGCCACGCTGACTCCCTCAGCCGCTGTTGACGGATCAGTGACGGCTGTATTGCGGGACAACAGACAGGCTTGCGACAACTCCTCCTCATCGACCCCCCACGCAGGGATGCCCGTCGGGATGGGTACTCCTACACGCCGTGCCATGTTGGCTTTGGCTGAATGCCACAACTTGCCAATAATGCACAGGGTCTGGAAGGGGAAGGTGGAGAGGGCAGTTGCAAGGGCCGAGGGCTCAGGCTCCTTGGGGTTGCCATGGCAGTACAGTTTATACCAGAAGCTGTTGAGGCGCTGCTTGGTTGGGTGCTTGGATCGGGTGAGCCCCTTAAGGGCGGCCCAATGGGCGGCGGCAGCATCATACCAAGCAGGCCGGGCGCGTTGGGGCCCATGCCTATTCGGCGTTGTACTAAGTCCTTGCCAATGCTCATCCTCAAAGGGCTGGTAATCGAAAAGGGGTACAGACATCCACTTCTCGCAAGGCCGCAAGGTCTGTGGTACGCAGCTCCGAAAAACGCCAATCATGCACCTGAGCTTCTAACTCGTCTGCCGCCTCGGGTGTCTCTGCAAAAGCTGCAGGCGAAGCTTCCTCAGTGTCCGAAGAGATGCAACACACCTCCGACGGGGCCTGTGTCGTGGCCACAGAGGGCTCCAAGATGGCCGGCGTCACAAGGAGGCTCTCCAAAGGCAGCACGCGCCGCAGGAAAACCACAACCCTTGCGGTTGTGTCAGGCCACTCCAAATTGTAGACGGACCAGAAGAGGCCGCGAGGGCCTGCCGAATGGCATCAAGGAAGTGAACTGGTGGTATACCTGGCCTAAAATCTTGATATTGGCGGTGTCCCAGTGTTTGCGAGCCTTGAAGCGAAATCCGTACAAACGCATTAACGCCAGGTTGGTGTGCTAACCTGGCAGTTTCCAGATTCGTGTGCTTGGCAGCCTCCGCCCAGGCCTGCAAGGCCTCCTGCGATATTTGTCCGTGGACTTGGGGGAGTCCTTGGGGGTCCACCACGTATTTGGTTGCAGGGCACGTGGGCAGCTGGTATGCACGGCCAGCGAGAAAGGCCACCATAGCTGCAGGAGGCACATTGACCTGTAGAATGCGATTGTCCGTCTCAGGGAAGCCCAAGACGACAGGCAGCCCGGCTGCTCGTCCCAAGGGGCCCTTTTGATGAGACTCAAAGGCTAGCAAAAGCGCCCCCAACCAGTAGTCTGGGTCGGAGTAGCACAACATAGCCGGAAAACTGGCATTTTTGACCCCTGGCACATCTGCGACAGCAAAGAAGAGATCGGCGATGTACTGGTGTAAAACCGAACGGTCTTTTCCACACAAATTTGAGCCTGATTATCGCATCGTTCGGCTCATGCAATGCACTCGTGGCAAAACATGAAAGACGTGTCAAAGCACTACAAAATCTGTACATGAGGTATACTAGGGGGTAACGTAAAAGTTCATCACCCCGCCTGAGATTGCAGTGTGTTCGAACTGCACATCTCACATGAACTTTCTGAGGTCTGCTACTCTGCATTCTTCAGCATGTCCTTGCAGTGACTGCACAAGCTCAACCTCTTTGAGGGATTTCTGGAAGTCTTCAAGACTCCACAGCTTTTGTGATGAAAACACTCACCATGAAGCGTGACAAAGAGCTCTTGGGGTATCACAACTTTCACATTGACACTCGAACGGGCTCCCATCGGCTCACGACTCACCGGCTCAGTGCATGTCGCCTTCAGCTCGCATTCCAGTCGAAGAATGTAGCGATGCATCGTCCACACCACCACAAGCAGAAAGAAACACATGTACTGCTCCATGGTACACTCCGGCATCAGTCCACATAGGAAAACGCAACCCATGATCACTTTTGACGCAAAGTCCTGTGAGCTCATCTCCAAAAGACTGTTCATGTCAAAGCCATGTAGATCCCTAGCCCAGCTCAAGGCCCGGTAAATGCACAAACAGCAGCATAGCAGGACGGTGGCCCAGGTCATGTTCGACATGCCATAACGCTGGTACGGAATCCCCGCCTCTGCCGCTTCTGATGTTGTAGGCAAACAAAGAAGAGTAAGAAGCGCTACCTGCTTTGTGAGCTTGCCGAGTTCACCCTTCAAGGAACCAGTCACACCATGTTGCCGAGCGTATTCAACACGCACTCTCTTGACTTGCAGCTTTGCTTGTTCCTGCAAGGCCATTCGAGCAAAATCATCTTCACCCACAGCTGCGCCTGTCAGAGCATCGACAAACCCATGCAAGAATAGCAAAGCTCGGAGTCTGTTAGCACTATGCATCTTTGTTGACAAGTCGCCAAGGTTGTAAGCACTTGCAATTGCTCCAACATCCAAGACTTTCTCACGCACTGATTGCTGAAGCCACAGCAGACGCCCTGCAACGTGTCGAGTTTTGTTTCCCACACCCTGACGCAATGCCAACTGTCTCGCTGCTGAGTTGTCAATCTTAAGATCCAATGAGCATTCTGCAGCGGCTGCCATGAAGACGAAAATCGCCCTCAGACAGATTCCTTCGCAAGCAGGTGTCCACTCCAGTCAGAGTCGCTGTAGATTTCCATTCGATGGTTCACATCATCATGGCTCGCCTCGCGAAAGACTGAAGACCCAGGAAGCTTGGGTGAAAGAAGTGTGCCACACTCAGCCGTGTTCAGCAAATACTTCGTCAGTCGAATCAATCCCTTCCATGCCTGTTCGCTGGGATTCGCCATGAATCCTGCCAACAATCGGACAGAGTAGCAGATGTCAAGACGATCACTTGACAAATAGAGCGCAATTCCCAGTGCACTCCTGAACTTTCCTGCTCGAACAGGATCAAGAGGACCGGAAACATCTTCGCGAATTAGCTCCGGGAAATATGGTGTGTTGTACTTCGATCCATGCTTGACATCAAGTACTTCGGCCATGTGTCGTATATAGCTGCTCGAAGTTTCCACTAAAATCCCAGACTCCAAAATAGTGTGCTTTCTCTTCAAGAAAGAAAAGACATCTCCATTCTTGTACGCAATCTCTACCGAAATCTCGAATCGTGATTGCAACGTAGGAATGTACTTCTGTTTGAGCCACGTCAGAGGAGCAAGCGTGAGGCCGTCGTCAACATGCATGATCATCGGGCCCTCGGGGACACGCATAATTGCCGGATTCTCAACACACGACTCAAGGGCATTGAACTTGCTGCTCAGAAACTGTACGTAGTATCCAAACCATCTTTGTGCGCCGTCTCTCTGTCCCGGCACACACTTCTCAAAGACGTATTGTCCTTGAAGCATGCAATCTTTGGGTAGATCTGCGACGACGGGCTCTTCCTTAGGCGTCTTTGACGTCTATAGCACATATTGCGTATTGCTCTTGCGTCGTCGCTCGCCACAAAAGGAAAAGGATCGGAATGAGTTTCACCATGTTTGTCGTGGTACTTGGAGAAAATAGCCCCTGTTTCTCTTCCAACCAGCGGTACTCTCTTGCCACTAGCCTGGAACGTCGAAGATCATGAGGCACCCCATTCCGCTTCTTTGACCTCCAAGTCCTGACCATTTTGGTCGAGAGGCTCTTCATTGATGAAACGTTGTCCTTCTCGGACGATGGGCGCAACACACCCTTCTGTATCAGCCTATTCACTTCCACAGCATCAGCAATCCTGTCAAGTTCGAACAACTCTGACTCTGAAAGACTCGGTTCACATCCACTGTCTGGAAACCAAAGAGCACTGGCATCAACGCTCTGCCCCGCCTCGTTCTGCACTGCCAAGTCGGGTTCGGTGCTCGAGCTTTTGTCGTAGTCCGGATCAACAAACTCGAAGTCGGACCATTCTGCATCCACAAACTCAAAGGGCTCGTCATTCAAATCGTAGTCTTTGTTGCCAAAAGAAACAGTTCGGATTCTTGGGACTTTCGAAGCACGTTCCTCAACGAACATCGCTGGCCTCGTCTGTCTCCATAGCAGCGCCTGATGGCACCACTGGACTTGTGAGTGGAAGCAGGTCTTCCACGGGTGTTGCAGGAGGCACATGTGGCCTTTGTGAAGGATTTGGAAGCTCAGGTCCCGGTGTTGGAACACTTTCGGGCACCCTGGAGCTTGGCGGTGGTGGACGACTGAAAGGCACTTTAGGGGTTTCGGGGTCCACACTACCTCCCACGGATGTTGGAGGCAATGCTTCGGCAGGGGTTCCAAGGTTAGGGCCTACGTCATGGCAGGAGTCAACCCCATCGGAACTGGCGTCTCAGGTGGATCTGAAGCTGCAACGTCTTGTGGGCTGCTTGGTGCAGGCAAGGCCTTCCTTGTCTTGGCCGGGGGAACCATCTTAGTTCCTATGACCCCGCTACTGTAGTTCCAAGGAAAACCCTTAACATCGGCATACAAAGCAGCATCATGCTTCCACTCGTGACCTGTGCGTCTCACCGATCGAGTGACTCGAACACCACCTTTGCTTGCAACCACATACATGTCGTTCAAACTCGTCTTGGTCAAGAAAATCGCCTTCAGCCATTTTGGGTCTCCTTTCTTCTTTGCATGCACTTGTGCAAACACTGGCTCTCCATACGCCACAAGCTTCCCGGTGTAAGCAGCGTTGCAAGTGCGTTCATACGCCGTGAGTCCTCCTGCCACAGCGAACCTGTTCCGGATCCATGCAGCATGCACAAAGGACCATGCGAAGAGAGGGTGCCCAGCTTCGATCATGCACCCAGTTTTGGCTCTTACCATGTCCAAGAGAGTGCACGCCAACCTTCGGATCAGGTCTACCGCTTTCTCAACATACCCGTTGGCTTGGTGGTGGCCAACAGGAGGATTCCTTTCAACCGTCTTCAATCCCAGCCTCTGTCTCGCATTCACCACAGCACGCTGCAACGAAAGTGTAGCTGGTTCAGCATCACACCTCAACTCCACGGTCGCATGACCCAAGGATTGAATGAACCTCATCAGCTCAACCCCAAGGTATCGCGTGCTGCCTTTGCTCTCACAGGGTATTGCCGTGATGGCACCAGTGGCGGAATCGTGTGCGATCAGACAGCAAAGTAGGTCTTTGGCACTTGAAGAAGGTTCACCTGCTACAGGCTCAAGCTCGTTCGAGGAAGGACTGAACCCGGTATGGCAGAAGTCGAAAGAGACGCTCGGGAGGTCTCGTGGTGCGGCATTTGTAGCCTCTGATCTGTCCGGAACAGATCGCATGGTGATGCAGTGGCTGCACCACGCCGCGTATGGCGTGTGAGTAAGCTCGTGGATGAGCTGTTGCTCTCTGGACGGAACATCGGGGATTGATTGCATGTGGGGCAATCGAGCAGCTCCCTCTGAAGCATCTCGAGCGATGTCTGAGGCCAGTGAAAGCTTTTGCTTCTCAAGTTAACCCTTTATCCTCTGAAACAGCCTAGTCTTAGAACCGGAAGTTCTCAAACCCAACTTAGTGCAGGCTGCTTTCAGGGCACCAATCGAACTCTCACAGTTGAGCACAACGCCATCAAGGGTGAGCGTGTCAGCAGGCTCAGCAACGGGATTGCCAAGAGGCTCTTCCATGTCGGGCAACGCACCTCGGGACACAGGTTCTTCACGAATGATTACACCTGCATCGGGCTCATCAACTGGCGACGGTTCATAATCAACCAATTCATCTTCATCAAGCGGATTCTCCGGAGTTCTAGGAGATGGAATCACATCCTCAACCAAACTCTCAGTGAGGTTCTCAACTCCAAGCGCACTCATGGGCTCTTTGACGGTATGCATGCAAACGATCAACTCCGCCTCTCCGCCTCCGGGAATGTCATCTTCAAGATCTTCCAGCTCCATCCAAGCTTCGCAGTGTTCGATCAAGAACCAAGCTGAGGTTTCACTTCGTCTCATCAGTGTAGAACGCATCGGCCAACTTTGATCAACCATGAAGGACGGATCTATCATGCGTGACGACCTGCCCCGCCAGCACAAATTGCCTGAAGTGATGATCTGCCAGCCGAAATGCAAGCTGTTCAGTTCTTGACCTAACACTGCACGCTGAAGGACTCGTACATGTGGCACACTTGGCTGAATTTGAACAAACTCACGATCTTTTGCAACTCGATTCTGAGCCTGAATGTCGCATCACGATCTCATTTCAAGATGCTACTCCTACAAGGTCCAAAAGTCACATTCTGTTCAAGCAAAATATGGTTCACGGTACGGGAGAAAATGTTGATCACCCCGCCCAAATACGCTGCTGGCCCTCTTGGCTGCAACGTGTTTGCATCAACCTCAAACATCAACATGATGCACGTTTGTGACGGACCTTGGGCTCAAGCGAGTATAAACTGTACACCTACATCTACCAACTGAACTACGCATGTCATGCCAGGCTGCATGACTGCTTGACTGACGCAAGCGGACGCCATGACACATCGGGAGATGTGTTGCACACTTGGTCACTGGGACCCGTAGTTGTGGAGATTGGGATGGCCTAGTTACCATCCGAATGATTGCTCATTCCTTCGGAGTTATGACTGCTCCACAGTCAACGCTTTCGGGTTGCATAGTACAGGATTGTCAAACACGCACCCATGCACAAGCTCTGCTGGCTGGTAAACATAAGTGTGGATTGAAGTGGTGAATCAAAACATTCATCCAAAGCGGTTGCGGCACTCGGCACAAGGATGCAATGTTCGGATATTGCTGTCTCTGGTGGTGTGGCACGATGCATGGTGATAGCATCGTCCAGCGGGCGTGACAACCACCCTGTTTGGCACAGTGGTTGCCAACCTCGGCACTTCCGTGGGCATACGCACGTTAATGTTCATTGTTGTCGACGCATCTTTCTGCGACACGACATCTCCAAGAGGAGCATTTCTCAGTCGTCTGATTTCCTGATTAGCTCGCTGCAGCATCCACTGGGCATATCCAAGATACATCATGAGCATTATCCACAAGATATTCAGCTTGAAGAACTCGGCCCATGTAGTTTCGTGTTCGGGCACATCAATGCTCGAAGTCGTCGTAGTGGTGATGCTCGGATCAAGAGGGACCGCACATGTAGCTTCGAAGTTCTCGCTAGCACAGCCATCACACCGGCTCCGTAGCCGCTCAAGGCTCACAAGTGTGAGTAGCAACGCGACGCAAACCCCAAATGCAACGATCCACACATGTCGGATTCCACCACCCATCATCTCAGCTTGGATTCCCACACTCACTCTCGTAGCTGCTTCGGCACCGGAAACAAGACTGAGCAACATGACCATCATGGCACCATTCAAGCTGTTCCTGAACCCATTCGTCTTCAAGGTTTTGCACACCAGCCTGCGCACACGTGCAGTTTCCATGCCATTGTCCACTGTTCGAACAAGGGCATCGTGCTCGTCCTCACCCACTGGCACCACATTGTCACCTATGCACTCCACAAAGTCATGCATGCGCAGCAGGGCTTTCAGCCTGGTTCCACTTGTCGGAACCTTGGTTCCTAGATCTCCAGGGTTCCGCCGGCCATCGACGGATTTTACTTGGAGCGTGCCATCACTGACCTTTTCTTGCACCCATAGGAAACGGCCGTCCAAATGTCTCACTTTTGACACTCCGCGTTTCAAGGCTATCTGTCTGCAAGATTGGTTGTCTGTTCGCATGACTAGCATTACCTCCTGCTGCAGTAGGAACTCCAAAATTCGCTTAAGGAAAATCCCATCGCAGGCTGCGGAAACCAAAGCGTAAAACTCGGATTCCGTGCTAGACAAGCTGACGCATCGCTGGCTGCGACACGACGTATGCACGCAACAAGTGTTGAGTAGGTAGGTACCGCTGCTCATTGACCGTCTGTTCTGCTTGTTTCCCGACCAATCTGCATCGCAATACACTTCAAGAAGGACATCATGTGATTGCATGCTGCTGACGCATGTTGGCTCGAGAATGCTTCGGCGGTCAGAACTGGCATGAACCTTGCTCGCATAGTTGCTCGTGCAATCCAAGTAGCTGGCCAATCTTTGCGCAGCGGCCCAGCTCTTCTCGGTGGGATTCTTCAGTCGTTGAGACAACACGCGCACAGTGAAAGCGATGTCTGCTCTGTCTTGCGAAACGTACATTGCGATTCCCACAGCACTCCTGAACCGTGCTGCTTTGTCAACGGACAACACTTTGGAATCGTCGGGCACAAGCAACTCCTTGACACTAGGCGTGGGCACCTTCCTACCTGACCTGACCTCCAACAACTGGCACATGTTGACAGCATGGTCGGCAAGTGGCTTCACAAGCACTCCATCTTCAAGCAACACATGTTCACGCTTGAGGAACTTGAAGATGTCTCCGGGATTCACTGCAAGCTCATATGACACCTCGAAATTTTCTTCGATGCTCGGCAGAAGCTGTTCCTTCAGCCATTTGACAAAGCCAACAAGGCACAAGTCATCCACATGGATCACTCCCGGGTTGCTACGGCCGGCGCCGTCAAGAATCTTGTACACCGAAGGGCATTCAGCGCACGCTTCAAGCTTGTGTCTCTCGCCTATGTACTTCATGATGAACCCATGCCATCTTGCTGTTCCATCCCTCTGGCCAGGGATCATGCGAAGGAATCGCATCTTGGTGCCTTCGAAGCCTGGAAGCTTGGCCAACATCGGCTTCTCTTGCGGGACACACAAGAAAGCATCCTTGATGTCCAACGCTAGGATTCCCACCTGGCTTTCGTAGTCGCAAGCACCGGACTCATCTCTTCGGCGCTTCAGCTCGCAGTAAAGCCACGGGAGCACTTTCGTGGTGATTGAGGAAGTAGCAGGTGCATACAAACCTTCTTTATCCCTTTCCAACCACCGGTATTCCCTAGCCACTAGTCTGCTTCTTCTGAAGAACATCTCACGGCCGCAGCGCTTCTTCTTCCGCCAGGTGCGAACGAACTTGGAGGAAAGCTCTTTGTGATCTGAGGTGTCGAAGTCTAGGGCGACTTCTTCGATCACCTTCATTCTCTTCAGCCGCTCCACCTCAAAGCCGTCCGCAAGGAAGTCAAGCTCGCTCAAATCCTGCTCGGACAGATCAGGAATCTCATCGAACCACAGTCTTGCCTCGCTGTCCAG